CTAATAGATAAGATTAGCAGAAATTGGTATGAAAATGCTGCAAGATTGCTTTTTTGATGTTTTCTGGTAGGACTGAAGTATCGAGACAAGTAACCCAGTGCTCCTTGACACCAATTTTTTTTCTTCAATTAAGAATTCATCTCCCTCCGTTGGAATAATTTACCTATCGTGAAGAAAGACGTATGTGTTTTTGGTTAATGCTCAGTGCATCATCGGTTTGGAGTTGCCCAATTTAGAAAATATAAATGTTGATCTACATTGCTGAAGGTAACACGTATTATGAAAGACCCATCACATCCTTTGTTCCATAATTATAATTTTAACCGATCAGGAATTCGTCTCTGCGTTCCCCGCACTAGGCGGGAACGCTTCAGACGTTCATTTGTGCCGGATCCGATTCACATTTACAACAGTAGGGTAAAACGTGGGCAAGTAATGTAAACATTATACTTGCTTTCCTCCGTTCCTAGGCAAGTAATCACATTGTATTTTTGGATTTAACGCCATTGATGTTATGTTGATTATGTTTTATAATCTGTATAATTGTGTACATTTTGTATAACACACCTGTACCAGTGAAAAACGAATTTCCATTTTTTATGAACAATAAATCAATTCAATTCAATTCAATTCAATTAATTTGATTTTAGCGAGTTCTTCTATTATCTTCAGCCTTTGTTCTTGATTAATTTTTTTTTTTCATCCGCCACTGTCTTGTTTCCATCTTGTGTCTTCTTCATGTTTCCCCTTTATCTTCTGCCTTGATTATTTTCCTGAATTTGTACAAACTCCCTAGCTTTTATTTAATCGGGTCAAGAATAAAAGAGTGGCACAATTGAATAAAAAAATTAGTCGACAATCTGGATATGAGAAGCTCTTCTGTTGATAACGTTTTCAGTTTTTTTTCTTTCTGTGACGACTTACCTTTGGATATTTAATAGAGAAAAGCATCACCCAATACATGGCGCATGCCGATGTATCGGTGCCTGCCGCAAAGATATCCCCAATCAGTGATGGCAAAAACTCCTCTTTGAAAGACGAATTGGGAGCTTCACCTCGTCCTTCCTTAGACTCATTCTCACGCACTTCTTTCAAAAAGAAATCGATCATATCCTTGCAGTCGTTCGTGTTGAGTATAAGTTTATGTGCGTCTTTTTCCCGGGTGAAGAGACCACGCTCCAAACTCCTGGCCATAGCGCCCATTTTTTTTAAGGAGCTGAAAGGCACGTACTTCAATAATGTGAAATAGTTCGTAGGTCCAGCTATATCGGTCATTTCGAAACACTTTTGTGAGTGAAAAGGGGGTAAAGAACCAGAAAGTGACAGATTGTGAATTAAGGTAAGATGTTTTTTTAACCACAAAAGTATTGAATTGATTCCTAGACGTATAACACCACCTCACAAAATGAACCATTCATGACGGTACATGAATCATTCATAAGAACACATGAATCATTCATAAGAGCACATGAATCATTCATAAGGGTACATAAATCATTCAAATGGCTCATCAAGCATATGTCAAGCCTCGATGTGGATCCGTACAAAATACCGGAGCTTTGAGGATCTGGTTTTAAAGGTAAAGACCAGTTTTGGAAACGCCCCCCTCTTAAACAATGAAATGGAAGCTCTTATTACCAATCATGTTAAAGAATGTTTTGACTAATACGTGATGATACAAATTTTGCCAAGAAAGAAAACTCGGACAGGGGACATAAAAATAGGAAGTTTGTAACCATATTTAGCAATTATAGTGGAACAACTATACTTCTAGTTCAACACAAACATAGCATAGCATAAAATCTGTTTCTCCAAATGATACGTAGGCCTACAGATAATATTCTTCTTATTGAATTTGATATTATTCAGGCCGTGGATGTTCAGCTATAATTCATATGAATTTGGAGGGATGTGACATCTCTAGTCAATTTTGGAAAGGGTAAATGCCTGAATGTTGTTTATAAAGTGAATAAGGGCAACACGATAGCAAAGACTTTCGAGAAATCAACTACCTTTTGCATTTCCTTTAGAAATAATAATAATAATAATAATAATATTTAATTGTTATATAGCGCCTAATACAAATGTCTCTAAGCGCTTTACAAATATACTGTTACCCCGGTCATTGGATTCAGTGCTTGCCCACACACACTGTATGCACAATCTCCACTCCCTGGGGAGCATTCCAGCCGGGCGTTACTTGACGCTCACAAGCTGTTTGATCAACAATGACGGCCGCATCCTACCGGGTACCCATTGCAAAAACTAGACTTACCCTTTCTAGGGTACAGATGAATTTCTCAAATTCTTTGTTGTCATAGTCGAACCGTTTTCCGAACGTAAGGCCGCAGATGATGTTGGACACCGCCATGGTCATGGGGATTCTTGGATCGAAGCTCTCTCCGTTGGTCTCCCCGATGCTCCTGGTCAAGAGGACAGCTTCCTGCAGGATCCGATCTTCGAGGCTGTTATTGGCTCGCCCCATGCCGAGGTTGCGGAGGAGCTTGAGCAGGAACCGGCGTTGCTCCTTCCAATGGTTTTGGTAATAACAACAAACCACCCCTGAAAAAAAAATTGTAATGGATTTATTTTTACTTATCGATATGAAAATTAACATAAATTATAATTCTGCTCTCTTATTTCTCATTTAAAATAATCGTGGCCTTAGTGTATTTCTGGAAAAGAAAAAATAATTAAATGTATAATTTGAATACCATGAACTTTCAAGTACAGAGTCAAATTCTACTATAGAAACTTTCACACTATGGTATAAGTGGAATGGCTTTGGAGTGGTTCGAAAGCTACCTCAGGGGTAGGAAACAATACGTATCCATAAATGGAGCAGACTCAGCCTTTCAACAGTTAATTTGTGGAGTTCCACAAGGATCCCTTCTTATCTTAACTATGGCATACTTGCATGGGGTAATTCGTTTAATTACCAGTTGGACAAATTATTGATACTTCAAAAACGCGTCATACGAATCATCTTCCACTGTAATAGGTTAAGCCACACTAATAGTTTTTTTTTAGAAAATAAAATATTGAAAGTTCATGACTTGTACAATTTCTTTTTAGGCTGTTTTATGTTTCGATTAAATTCTAACGAACTTCCTCATGCCATCACGTCGACATTGGAAAAGAATCAACAACTTCATAATTAACTAACCCGGCAGTCTTCCTGTTTTCACTTACACAAACTGAGAACTTTACATTTTTTTAAACTTTGATTTATACTGGTCCAGTGTACATAAACTCCTTGGACATTTCGCTCAAACAGCTGCCCAGTTTAATTAGTTTTAAATATCACTTGAAACATAAACTTCTACTTCAGTATGAAAATGCTTAAGGTCATCATGATGGAGACCATCGGTATTATCAACACTTGTTGGTTGGCTGCACCACTCACCCGTTTTTGTTCTTCTTTTGTTTTGTTTTTGTTTTATATATTATGTAACAAACGTATTATGTAAAAGGAACCCTAATTACAAGCATAATGCTTCAAAGGTTTCCTCCTCATTGCTGCAGATTATTGTTTGCAGCATTTGTCTTTAATGACTTGCCATTAAATCGCTTTTTTTTTTTACTGTTGTATCTATCGAATATTATGTAAATGTTTTGTTACCTTGTATATGCCTTATTTTGTAAATTCTTTCCATATGCAGTTAATGTGGAAATAAAACCTAAATAAATGAAAAATAATATCACCATCGCAGTTTCTCAATCCTGCTTTCTTTATGTTCTTATGAATCTGGTCTTATTAAAGAGGCACAAAACTGAGTTCGTTTTTATTTGTCATCACCAGCCCTCACAATCTTTCTCATGCTTCCCCAGGGGAAAGGGCGGGGTAGTCTCTGGTCCCCTTAAATTTGACGATTGAAATAATGATCATTATAGTTTTTTTTTATTTGTTATAACATAACTTTACCCTTGGAAATGAGTTTCTGTAATGTGACGAAGAGTGGGATTTAAAGTTCCCATATGAACCCTCGAATTGATTAGTTCAAAATCTCGGAAAGAAATATATGATTGAACTCACCTCTTCCTCCTGACCAAGCTTCAAAGGTTGTGAACCTTGGCCGATCGCTGAATGCGTCTCCCGACTTCGCGAAAGCTTCTCTCACACTCTCATAATCGTTCAGGAAAATGGCGTCAAAGTTACCCAAACGCCCATAGAATACAGTTCCGTACTTCTTGGACAGTTCCAGGACCGACTTCCCGGGGTCTTCACTGCCCAGGAACGGTAGGATCCCGACGATCGGGTAGTTGGTCGGACCCGGTGGTAATCGCCGACGTCGACGGCCGTGTTTCGTCCTCGTCAGCGTGTGTCGGTAGGCGGTAAGGAGGGCCAGGAAGACGCTGGCTACGGTGAGGAGTACCGTCTGACGGTTGGCCTTGGTGGAGATTCGAAGGAGGAATCGTAAAAGTGACATGGCTTTCGGCGGGAGGAGACGGTTAGAAGCCGCAGAATGAACTAAAAATTTACTAAAGACCATTTTAACCCTTTCAATAATGACCGACTGTATCTACCGTTTTGTCAGCGTTAAGACGTTATTCAAAAGGCCTATAATAAATAATGTGTACGCTGAACTCCTGGAGATGTCAAGTATAAAACATAATGCAGTTATGTTTAATGAATACACGACTCTCTGAAAATATTCCGCGAAGTAACTTTGTGGTTCTTGGATGAGCTTAATTTTATACCTCGTGCCTCTTCATTTAATCTCTTGCATTGTAAGACCCACACGACCGCTTTAAGAGCCAGGAGAACGTTAACTTATAGGAGTTAACGCCCTTCTGTTTCTCAACGGACCGTTTAATCCATGTTTATGTTGAATCACTGGTTTACTATTCTCTTATTTGTTGTTTAAAGGGAGTAGTGGTTGAGGAGTAATCAGAAATAATTAAGCGGATTATCCCAAGCCTTACTCCTCACAGTAAGTGACGTCACGATTCCTTAGATGATAACTATCTTCCATGAAAAATGCTCTAAAAATGTACGGATCTGCGGAATTTCTTATAATAAATACGCTTTGAAACTGAGAAACTTAAGTAAGTATTATCTGTGGGCAAAACTTTAATGAATAAAAAGAAATTCAGACATTATTCAGGAGTTTGATTTACACACTAAGTTTGGCCGCTTATTGGGTACTTTTAAGAGTCTCTTTACCCGAATTAAGTTTGAATAAGATGCTATAAAGTCTAATGTTCAGAAATGTTTAATCGTACGGATGTAATGTGGTACGGAATAAATCATGTAACTCTTTGAAAATGAAGGGAGGGGGCGAAGAGCGTTTTATCTTCTCAATGATTTAATGTAGTATACACTGGCGTACTGGTGAGGGGGGCTTGGGGCGCTTCCCCCCCCCCTACAATTAAACCATGACTTATTTTGTCCATTATTACCATCCTACCTCGACCACCCTACCTCTACCACTACCTTACCTCTACTGCCCTCCTACCTCTACTACCACTTTACCTCTACCACCGTCCTACCTCTCCTAACTCTACCCCACCCTACCCCTACCACCCCCACCATTCTACCTCTATTACCACCCTACCTCTACCACCCTACCTCTACTACCCTACCTCTACCACCACCCTACCTCTAATACTGTTCTACCTCTACCTCTACCACCGCCCTACTTCTCCTAACTCTAACCCACCCTACCCCTACCACCCCCACCATTCTACCTCTATTACCACCCTACCTCTACCACCCTACCTCTACTACCCTACCTCTACCACCACCCTACCTCTAATACTATTCTACCTCTACATCTACCAACGCCCTACCTCTCCTAACTCTAACCCACCCTACCCCTACCACCCCCACCATTCTACCTCTATTACCACCCTACCTCTACCACCCTACCTCTATTACCACCCTACCTCTACCACCCTACCTCTACCACCCTACCTCTACCACCACCTTACCTCTCCTACCCCCTACCTCTACCACCCTACCTCTACCACCCTACCTCTACCACCCTACCTCTACCACCCTATACCTCTACCACCCTACCTCTACCACCCTACCTCTACCACCACCCTACCTCTCCTACCCCCTACCTCTCCTACCCCCTACCTTTACCACTCTACCTCTACCACCCTACCTCTACCACCCTACCTCTACCACCACCCTACCTCTCCTACCCCCTACCTCTCCTACCCCCTACCTCTACCACTCTACCTCTACCACCCTACCTCTACCACCCTACCTCTACCACTCTACCTCTACCACCCTACCTCTACCACCCTACCTCCACCACCCTACCTCTACCACCACCCTACCTCTCCTACCCCCTACCTCTACTACCTCTCCTGCCTCTCCCACTTCATACCTCTACCACCACCCTATACTATCCTACATCTTCTACCACCCTACCACCACTACCTTACTACCACCCTACCTTCACTTACACCCTACGTCTAATACCATCTCACCACCTTCTCCACCTACACAACCCACCTCCACCACCACTCCTCCCTCTAGTACCATATTGCCTCTAGGACCATATGACCTCTAGGACCATAGGGACTACTTTCGTCGTTGCTTAGTAACAAACATGCTCCGTACATTTCTGTGAGGAGAAAGATAAATCAGGAAGCTTCATTACAGCTTCCTGGATAAATGGTTCTCCGTGGATTAACGTATGTGTGTGTGTCTGTCTGTCTGTGCATGAGGCTCTTTTTTGGAAATATTATTCATTCAGTGCACAAATTATATTGTTATAAATGAGTAATAACTAACAACTGTATATAACTCTGTTATGTTTCTGTGATAATTAATAACTAAACGTATTTATGCTTTGATATGCATTTGTAATACTTTGAGATGTAAAAATGGCAAGTTGCAATTTGTTATTATATATTTAATTTATGTTAATGTAATGTAACTCCAATATCTTGTAATATTGTGACAAATTATGTATATATATGTTATCATTCTGTCGTTATTTCTTGTGCATTGAATTAACAATTAAACAACTTTTAAATATATATATATATATAAGTTAGGTTAATTACCCAAAACTTAGAGTTCAGTGGATTACACACGGTGGTGGCAGAGCGTCTTTAAAAGTGGGTGGGGGCACCAACAAAAAAGGCACTTTCTGGGAAAAGAGGGCACTGGCACCTTTAAAGGGATGCCTCAAAGTGCAAACAAATACAATTTATAGGCATTGTTGGAAACCCTACAGTGCAATTAATATGTTATCAGGGATGATCTTCGAGATTTCCAAGATACTGCTTGAGCATCGTACTATGCAGTTGGTTCTGATGGTATTAATATTTGTTCATGAGAAAGCGAAGCGAACGAGCAAGAATCTTATGATATACGAGGTCGCATTGCGACGGATTAGAATAATAATCCTATTCGGGTTTCAAGCACAATCTCATAATAAAAGAATAAATAATTATATAAACTAAAATGTTAGCGAACGATCTTTTTGAAAATAAATTGCTCTGTCTCTTTAAATTAGGTGTACATGTTAGGAAGGCTATGAAAAATCTGTTGAGGAGGGATGATAAAAAATATCTTCCTCAGTCCCCCCCCCCCTTTTCTCTTTTGAATAAGTATTTAACTCTCGTTTCCAGATAATAGGCCTACCTCTCAGAAGATAATTATAATTCACAGATACATTTTTATTTCCCCTTTAAGTTTTCGGGGTGTTTTTTTTACTATGGCAATCTTAGACCTCCAAAAAGAAGACTTTTGTCATTTGTACTTGTTTATTTTTTCAATTGCACGTCAAATCATTGTGAACGTTATTAATAATGAACCCAATCCGATTGTATTGATGTTCTGATTCTAAATAGATATCAATTATCCCTCAATAGTGATCAATTAACGACAATGAACAGAAGATTAGCTGATAATCTCGAGTTTACTCAACTTAATTATTGCATTATCTCTGACGCACGTTGCCACGACGTCACTAAAATGTGGATTGTTGCAATCAGTTTCGTAGTAATGTGAATTTGTAGATTTAATTGATTCGATTTGAATTCACGGGCACCGGAATGGTCATCTCCCCATGTGAGTAAATCTGTCCAACTCTCATTCCAACTGACTTCATATCCAATACCCCCCCCCCCCCACCTCTCTCTCTCTCTCTCGCTCTTTCTTTCCATGCTCTTTCTCTCTCTCTCTCTCCATGCTCTCTCTCTCTCCCTCTCTAAATCTCATTTTCTCTCCATGCTCTCTCTCTCTCTCTCTCTTTCTACCTCTCTCCCAACCCCACCCCTCCCCCTTCTCTCTCTCTCTCTCTCTCTCTCTCTCTCTCTCTCTCCCTCTCTCTCTCCCTCCCTCCCTTTCCCCTCCTTTCTCTCTCTCTCTCTGCCTCCCTCTCACCAAAACAAATACATGACATTCAAATACACTTAACATTATTTGTATGCCTATGTTCTGGGAAAGTACGATTGGGGAAAGGAGACAAAATAAAATCAGAATTCCTTTTGTACACTTCAACTTTTTTGGCAAGTAATAACATTTTAATCAATATAATAATCTGGTTGATTGGATCCTTGCTTATTGTTATCAAGGTACAAAAATACAGTACATAATCTGTAACATATACATGTTAATCTAAACCTTTACATTATTTCTTTATGGATTTCTACATTACATTATTTTATCAAGAAGAATTTACAAGAAAAAAATGTGATCTATGCACATGTACAAATGCCAAAAATATTCATTTTGGTATAATAGTGCAGAAACAATTTTGTATGATTTCCTATAAAAAAAAATGTTTCATATAATTGCACTTGTACAATATAATGATAGTAGACTCAATTTACCGATGTAGGATTGTTTTGTTAACAATTCAAAAGCACATGTTTGCTCCATGTACTTGTCTATCTATCCATCATGTTGTATTTTGACAAGGATATTGATTTAAATGTTTTAAAAAATACTGAAATGAAATTAAACCAAAAAAAAACATTCATATATTTATATAATTGTCCAAAAGGGCCATTTTCCTTTTTTCATTTTAAAAGAGCAAATATTCAAACATAATTTTCTTCTTCTACAACGTATGATGACTTGGCATTTTGAAATATTTCATGAATTTGGTTACCAGCAGTGAATAACCTGACATTAAATTAGTTTATTAAACAGGATATGTAAAGTTGACTATTGTATCTTTTTCATGCTAAATCTACGTTTATTTATCTTTTGATTCTGTGTTTATCATATTTTGGTATAAATTTGCTTTAAACAATAATACACAAACAATTTCTTTTGTCCCAATATAATGCTTGTATCATCTGCATTAGGTTCATTCTAAATCATATATATATATATATATATATATATATATATATATATATATATATATATATAAAGTACATTATATAGCAATAAGTACTTTGTCATATATCAATCATATACATTTATCACACAAAACACATTTCTGGTATGACTATATTCCAAGCTGCAGGGAAACACAGGAAGAGCAGTGATATCAATAATTTTCTATTTTTGAAAGGCACAAATGCAGATTAATGACTTGCTGAGTGCTGTGGCAGGGATTTGAACCATGTACCTTAAGATCCACAGTCTGGTGACTCTTACACTAGACCACGAGACCTCCAATAGTTATATATTCTTACAGGGCTTGCTGAGAGCACATCTTGTAAATGAAACATCTCTCATACATGTACTTTGATGTTCTCCGAGGGTAGAGTGAAGATGGTGCACACTTTACAAGTGGACTCTACACAATGAACCAAAAGATCCTGTTGGTAGTGTACAGCTCTTTCAGATGTAATACTTTTAACAATGCTACATTAATACTCTAGTATATATATATATATATATATATATATATATATATATATGATGATTTTGTGAATACTTATCATTTCTTACATCAAAAACATGCCATGAAATTTGTTTACGCAGAGACAAAGTGTTAATATGGAATGTATGTACTTTCATAGCAAATCAATATTGTTCATTGAGAATAGGGATGGTCCCATGAGGTTGAATATTGCTCTTTGCCTTTATCTATTATAACGTGTACCTCATGTACTCGGCAAGTACTCATATAGGCACAAAACATATTATCTACTAAGTATGACTATATATTCTAAGCCATAATATGGTATTCCGCAAAGTTCTGTCCCGGGGCCTGTGTTGTTCGTGTTGTGGATATTGCGCTATAAAAGAAACAATTTATCATTATTATCATGGGCGAGTTGTAATCAAAGAAAAAACTGGCTAAAATCCTACAAAAAAACTAAAAAACTACAATTACTAGCCTCTCCTGTCTATATTCAACTGCACTTAAAAATATGGGGGATGATTGTCATTCTACAAGTTCATACTTCTGGAAACACTCCTTTCCTATGCTAGGGACTTCAGAGTTCATCACTCCAAAAAGTGAAAAAGGTGTATTTTTCCAGTTACATGTATTCACTGTTTTAATCTGTAGATTTGTTACTACAAAGGAGTGTCATTAATTCAAAAGGTTATTTTATCTGAAGGTTCATGAATCACAATGTACAAGGGTTCAATAACCTCATGGTTGGTCATACTCAGTTTCTGTCATACTATTATATCTTTTTAATTTTATCTTTGAATGTAATTCAAAAACTGAAGAAAAAAAATCACAATTCCAAACAAAAAGGGGGTTCATAATTCAATTCCAAAAATAAATTAGAATTATAAAACTCAAATAAAGTCAATATTCCATTTCATTTGAGCTCATTTCACTGAAAATAAGAATACCAATTATTTTTTTTAATATAATTATAAACCTTTAGTGGAGCAACAGATCTTGGAGTAAACAAAACTTCAGAACAATGAGCCTTCAGAAAAACCAGCTGTAACCAAAAGTATATGGAGTGGATAGTACTCTGATACCCCTTTCATAGTGCTTCTATCGGAGTCACACCCATGAAAATACCGATTTAATTTTCCTTATGTAAACAAAGGTGAAACCACCGCTTTCCCTGCTGTCCTTTTCAAACCGTGGGTGAAATGCACTCGCTGTGGCGAGCTTTTGCCGGAAGTGAAGAATTATTGCGCAATTATTAAGCCCGCGCCCCATCTAGCTAGCATGCAGCATGCTCAACAAAAAGTCAACAAACACAGCTGGTTACGATAAAGCGTGCGTACACTGTGACCTTTGACCATTTTCATCGGGCTTTTAATCGGTGTTTTCTCCCGAACGCATTCACAGTGGCTGTTTCATTGGTTTCACACTGATAGAAAGAGAATTTAATGGCTTATTTCTCTTCTTTTCATCGGCTATTCTATCGGCTTTTTTTCCTTTGTACCATTCATAGTGGCAGTTTCATCAGATGCATCCAATGAAAATCAGGCCAGTTTGAAAGGGGTATAAGCTACAACCTGTTTCATACATTTGCATGAAATGCTTGTGATTAGGAAGGCCTCACACTTGCACAAATTTAAAATCCACACTTCGGTACCCAGCATTGTGTGTACCAAGTCATGCCAATTTGCTGCATGCAGTCCAGCCAGCGATACAATGTGCGCCATGCCCGGCGTGCTCTAGGTTCGGTTCATGACATCACAGGTACGTCATAGCTCACGTTGTCATACTACATTGACATCAAAGTTACCCACTGCTCATGCACTGTCCTGCGCAGGTGGGCTTTGACACAAAATATTTGGCTTGAGGCTGTGCCATGTTCACCACATCTTCATGAAAGTGGCCCCAAAATTAAAGGGATTGGGTATTTTTGTCTCAGATTCTCAAACAAAATCCTGGATTTACCTCATGCTGCAATGACAATTATAAACCTTTAGGTCAGTCAGGGACGAGCTGATTGCCTGTCTGATTATCAAGATATTTATGATTGGAAATACAAATTTCGAAAACCATTTCTTTTTTTTAATAACAGTACAGTCTCACTCGAGGCACTTCATGATCATTTTGAAGCACAATTTGTTTAGAGCTTCAATATTACACCATATCCAGACACTGATACTGATAACACGTAGGGCCATGCATCTCAGATTTAACACTGTTAAACAATGCCTTTAAACTATTTTGCATGCAAGTGTCAGGATGGCTTTACTGTTTACATCACACATCTTATGTATCTTCAACGATTTATCAAAATCACTCAACAATTTGTGAAAAATAAATCAAACAATAAAATGTAAGTGCCCCACCGTCCAAGTGGCTGTCATGACCTGTCTAATCTCTTCCGATGTTATGCGTTATTGTTGGAGGATCTATTCTGTACATCCACTCAGCAGGTACAAAGTAACCTCGGTAGGAAACCGTCTTAGGAGTCACGTCGTGGTGGTAATGTCCCCCCTGGCCGTGGTGGCTGAAACAATGCGTGTGTTCTAGTCTCAGATCCATGCCCTGTCAAAGACAAAAAGACAAAGAATACATTTTATTTTTTGGAATCACCTGTACCAGGAAAGGGAAAAGCAATCTTAATCACTGTGACCCAAAAGTAACAGTGATTAAGATCAGTGTGGAAACAAATGCACACAAATTGACAATTTTCCAATTGAAATTTACTACTTTTAGTCAAATCTTTGGCCCAAATTCACACAGGAGGTTTAAATCTTCATTTAAAGGTAATACAAAGTTTTGGTATGGGGTCATGAATTTGGTTCAAATGAACATATTGGAAGCAAATACGATCCTACAATATTGAGTGATCGTTGTCGCGGTTGAAAACGAGTCTAAAGTTTTGAAATTGTTAATACTAAACTCTTTATGTTGTATAGCTCCCTCTCAAGGTCAAGATATTAATTAAGCTATAAAACAATGTTTCTTGACTAAAATCGACCGATAAGCTATTCCCCTTTGGAAATATATCACAACTACATATTCTGAGATGTTCATGGTCGCAGCTAGTAACACTGTAAGGCCATAGGCGCTATTTGAAATTTATCAAAATTTACCGGGAGCACCGGTAAATTTTTATATTCAATTTTTCTCGAAAGCAGAAGTGTTATAGGGGCTATTTTTTCTAGTGCTTATAATACATCCACAGGGTCAACCAAATATATCCAAATGGTAAAGAATCACTATCCACCCAATTTTCAAAAATTCCCAAAACTTTGTATTACCTTTAAATAAACCATGGTCTAAAATAAGTTCAAAATAAGCGAGACACAGTCAGAGGTCCAATATTAGACGCACGCAAGGCAAGGTTCGCTTAATTTGCGCTAATTTTAAACCATCGGTTATGTAAATGAGGGTTTGAACCATGAGTTAAATTTAACCCTCCTTTGTGTTTTGTGCTAAGGGGAATAACCTGCTTTAGGTTATATCAAACTGTATGGTTAAATATAACATGAGAAGAATTGACATGTATGATCTTTTATTCTCAGAAACTGTGGTGAGAGAGTTCTCCCTTCATCTGTGTATCGTAGCATCAGTAATAACAATAACAATAGTCGCTTCATGTATAGCACCTATGTCCATCAAGCTGTAACATTCCTGGCTGTCCAACATTATCAATCTGGTCATAGCCAAGCGGCCAAATGTATAGCTTTCTAGCATATCAGGTAGGCATCTAAACCTGGGTAGAGAGTGGCAAATGTGGATGAATGTCTTGCCAAAGGACACTGATGCTGGGATGGGATTTGAACCCTCAAACTTTGGATGGAGAGTCAAGTGAACGAATCAATATACCATGACACCTCCACACCTATATGGAATGAGCCTTGCACACATTACTTCTTGCCCCGACAGGCAAACCTTAGACAAGGTAGGAGAAGGGAGGAGAGAGGGGAAAGGAGGGAGAAAAAGAGAGACAAAAACCAAACAGACAGACAGAAATATACACGTAATGTACTTACCGGATCATGGGTGACGAACACACTGCAGCAGATGAGAGGGGCTTTGAACTCAAAGAACTTTAACCATTTATTCACGTCTTCCTCAGTGTCTAGGGGTTTCTTGGAAAAGTCAGGCTGAGCAGAGAAAATTAAGCAGGAAAAAAAGAGTTTGTTACATATACAAGTTACAGTTATATGTTATAGATAATGTACACTATCCCCAAGAATGATCCAAAATTGCTTCTGACAACATTTGCTCAAGGTATTACTTCACCAATCAATGTGTTTTTACTTAAGACCAGGAAAGTAAAGGTAATGGTATTGTATACCCAGAATAGACCCAGACAGTAACCCCCATTGGAATGTAAAAAGTCAGTTTCTACCGAAGCTCAGTTAAATAGACTTGAGCAGACTTCAGTGGTTGCACTGAATATCTGGAAAGTGGGCAATGTGTGCAGCAAAGCATTGTGTTAGTTGACCTATACTTTAACACTGAACTATAGAACTGACAAGGCGATCATACCCCCCCCCCCCCCCCCCAAAAAAAAGGGAAAAAAGCCATCTCTGGAGACAGGTATGCTGTAACGTTAGCGTTATAAATGAATTATGGTGTCTTTCAACAGAAGCACATACTAACAAAAGTCACGAAAGTAACAGTATTAGAAATCCTGTCGAACAGGTCTTATGATAAAGACAAAATTATTACTAAAAAAATAAAACAGTGAATGAAATATTTTAAATGAAATTATAAATAAACTACATTAAAAGAATAGCTGATGAATAGATCATCTTGTTGTGTATATCAGTGTTGTGAGTTATGATCAACAATTGGGAATTGCTTTTAGTCAATTTTCTCTCAAAATGTAGTTTCTTTCTGAACCAGGGTCCCGTTGCACAAAACTTGCTATTGATGGTAACTTGGCCATCAATTTTAACTACCATGGAAACCTTGATTTTGATTGGCTGTTGAGCCCTGTTACCATGGTAGTTGCCATTGATGGCAAAGTTACCATCAATGTTAAGTTTAATGCAACGGGGCCCAGAAGTAAAGGAAACCTTCAAAGCGATTAACTCTTTATATGTCAAACAAATCATCTCCCTGTGAAACATTGTGTACATCATGGGATAGATATATACCAAAGGCTTCAAGATTATTTAACCATTTCCAGCACTTTATTAATTCATACTGGTATCAAATGAGTTGTCATAAAGCTAATGAACACCCGATATTGGTAATTTTGCAAAATAATTCTTCCACCACTCGGTGCACATTGTTCTGTGAGAAATAGCACATTTGGCAAATGAGTGACAGTGCAGAGAGACAAAGAAAGCAACCAAAGTGTTGAAATTCATTGAATCAACAGCCAGCTCGTTTTTTCAATATACTCACCATTATATGTATCTTTGCTTTTCCTTCTTCAATAACAAACACACCTCCTAAGCCGATAAACTTGTCTTTTCCATAGTGCTTGTGGATAAAGTGTCGCATGAGTGATACAAAGTTGTCAGGACTCCGTCTGGTTTGGCATTTCACCTCGAGCACCTGAATAAGATTCAAAGGTATGAAAATCAGACTTCTGAATCAAATTGAAAGATAAATAGCACTAAAGAACCATAGTTTAGGATGTGAGATGCAAATTATGAAACAAGTTCCTCTAAAAACCCCTAAGCTACATTCTGTAAATGTACATAGGCTTTAACAATAAACAAATTCAAAGAATAACAGTGAATAAAGATTTACCGGTACTAAAGTTTTTTGTCGTGCAGTCATGGTAGCAGCAAGAATGAACAGAAACCAAAATGGGACAATTAACGGAAACTAAAGGAATCTAGTGCACAAAATATAGACTTATTCTGACTGGCTGCTGGACATAATGAGAAACTAGACTTCATTGCCAAATCCTTAATGAAAACAGGCTTTATCGAAGCTAGCTAAAATTATGAGTCCTCACAATCTCTTGTGGATGCAATGTGAATTAACAATTGGGGAGGCGTGACTGTGGGCCTCTATTATCATCTTTTCATCTTCCTTTCCCAATTTCTTTTCACCATTCATATTCCCTTTGCAATCTCAGTTTCTTCCTCTCTTACTCTCTTTTTTTCCCTACCTGCCATTTAAATGCACCCCCCCCCCTCCTCATCCAACCCATAAATATGTTACTGTTGAACAATACTGTATCGAGGGGTCAGTGACAAAAAGACGTAACTCTATATTGTGCCAAAATATATTGGTAATTCCATTTTGGCCATTTTGAGAAAAAGTGGTTTACAATGTATGTGTCACTGAACATATGGGCCTTAAGACGTTAAGTCTATGTTCCACTAGCCATTGACTTTAATGGGGTGGTGGGTGGAGTTAAGTCTTTGTGTCTCCTGGAAAGCCCACATTTTTCTGAACATTTTGATATCAAATACACATTTTGGCACAATATAGAGTTACGTCTTTGTCACTGACCCCTAGATATGTACCTTGCCCGGTTTTCCTTCAGAAGCCATCAAGTTTGCCAGGAGGTTGAAATCTCTGGTAGGACTGCACTTGAGACAGTAGGAGCCATCTTCTGGAAGGATGGACGAGAGACGGGTCTGATTGTCGCCCTCGCTGTCAGCCGATCTGGTCCTGATATTGGCGATCATCTGCAATCACATAAATTGAGATTTTTAAAGTGCGCTCTTGTCGAGACTTACTCTTTACAAGAAGGGTAACACCTGTATTCTCTATGCACATTGAATATTGAAAAATGGTTCCTATCCTTCATAGCCCTAAAACCTGATCTGGCAAGATTCATCACCCCCCCCCCCCCCCTTCCCTTCTAATGCTATATAGATCGTGTTAAATACCTCTCTTTAGAAATCTAGCTATCTGATTGGTCGAAATTGGAGTCCTGATTTTAGCCATTCTCGTAAAGAAACAAGCGATGCCAGTAACAGTTAATAGTTTATTAGTGAGATTCTCCAAAGATTACGGGTACCAGGAAAATAGTACAATTTTGATGAGATCCCCATTGATTTACGTGTTAAAACTTACTTTGTGCGAGCGCGGATACCATACACTACTTTTTGTCTGCGATTCCCAAATGATTGTAACATTCAGCCACCTTTCCAGCAAAGATTAACAGCAGTGTCTCGGATTTTCTGTGATGTTTTAACCAATCTTTACTCAAGAAAAGGATAAGGTAAGAATTCTTGGTAGATTTTTGTGTCAAATCGGTATATAAAGGACATATCGACTGCTTTAATATTTGAGGCCTGGCTGTTTCAATACAGGCTATAATGACTCCTCGGCGCTCCTCGGGTCATGGCAGGATGCAACGTCCCCTTGAGTCAATAGAAAACATCCATTTTTTAAAAAGTCTCTATTCTGCTTGTAGCTGCAATGATTTTCATGTCAATAATCTATGTTAACTCTAACAGGGTGATAGTGAGCACTAAAAAAAAATAATAGGTTTTTTGTTTTCCCCTCAACCATGCCCCCCTTGAGTAAATAAAAGAGAAAAGGATTCGCGGGGAAAATGGCATCTAACAACATTCCCCCCGTACAAATAAGAAAATTGGGAAAAAAATAGGGAAAATTAGAGAAAATAACGGGAAATCAGTAAAATTAGGATAAAAGAGAGAAGAAGAAAGAAATCTGGTAAAAAATCGGGAAAAATAAAAACTAGATGGAATTCGACTGCGCGCAGTCGAAAATGATGCCTCCGTCATAGAGCAATTTTACAAACCAAAACAGAAGAAATTTTTCAAATTCAAGTTCAATTGTAATCCATTAACAGGTTCTCAGAATATCGTGATTACAAACAATTTCTCATATACATATATGACCCTTTGAACTTTGACCTCATGATCCTAATATCTACTCAGCTCATTGGCTCTGCAAGATATCCAGAGTTAAATAGTAATCCATCTGTCAGTTCTAATGAGAATGCGTTCACAAGCTATTTTTGCATACATAATGAGCCCATGACCTTGGACCTTATGAACCAAGAATCTACACAGTTCATTGGCTCTGCAAGATACATAAATGATCTAAGTTTGGCAGGAATCCATCAATCTGTTCTAATGATAACGCGATCACAAGCTGTTTTTGCATACATAATGGGCGCTGTGACCTTTGACCTTTGACCTCGTTACCCAAAATCTAATAAGTTCATCGGCTCTGCAAGTAACATACATGACCTAAGTTTGGCAGGAATCCATCAATCGGTTCTTGAGATAACGCGATCACAAGCTGTTTTTGCATACATAATGAGCCCTGTGACCTTTGACCTTTGACCTCGTGACCCAAAATCTAATCAGTTCATTGGCTCTGCAAGATACATACATGACCAAAGTTTGGCAGGAATCCATCTATCGGTTCTTCAGATAACGCGATCACGAGCCGTTTTGCATACATAATGAGCCCTGTGACCTTTGACCTTTGACCTCGTGACCCCAAAATCTAATCAGTTCATCGACTCTACAAGATACATACATGACCAAAGTTTGGCAGGAATCCATCCATCGGTTCTTCAGATAACGCGATCACGAGCTGTTTTTGCATACATAATGAGCCCTGTGACCTTTGACCTTTGACCTCGTGACCCCAAAATCTAATCAGTTCATCGACTTTGCTAGATACATATATGACCAAAGTTTGGTAGGAATCCATTGATCCGTTCTTCAGATAACGTGATCACGAGAACGGGACGTACGTACAGACGTACGGACGGACGGACGGACGGACGGACGGACGGACAACCTGAAAACATAATGCCTCCGGCTACTTCGTAACGGAGGCATAAAAATTGGGAAACCGATTTAAATCGGGTTTTTATCAGGCCTAATCACACTTATCACACAAAAATAGAACCATCCACAGTGCCCTGGTTTTACCTCATTATTGGTACCAACAGCAGCATGGGGACCAGCTCCAGCACCAAGTATGAAGGCACCAGGAAGATCAACCTGCTCTGCAACTGTATCCAAGTTGTATTTCTGTTTGGTAAAGGAGGGAGATGAGGAAAATTTTATATTTATAAACGCAAGTCCAAGCTATTCTATCAATTTGTTTCTCATACATTACCAAGTAGTATAGAAAATGAACATGAAATAAGATCATGTTGAGTTCTGGTGGTACAAAGGTTAGAAAATAATTTGTGGGTTTTCTTGTTCTTTTTCTGGCTGTTGTATGTCAGTTTGTCACAGAAGAAATGTTCCCTGAAAAGCATTGCTCTTTAAATGCCCTCATATTAAAAAAATACAACAAGAAAAACTGATAAGTTTGGTCCACACTTTCATGCCACATGTATGTGTAATATCTGTGTGCAGTTCATGTGCTTCACATCAAGAATGAGTTTTCTTAATTGCATTTTTTATCAATTTGATGATTCCAAAATCTCACAGTATACACCGATTCCTTTTTACTACATAATCGAACCTTATAAACTGCTTTCAGTGACCTTTTTTTTCTCATTGCATCACCAGAAATCAACCTTATCAATAAAATTTAAAATTTTCCTTCTTAGATTTGGTTTGAACAAAGCTTTTGTGGGGGCCATTATCTTTCTATAAAAAATTATAAAATAATTCAACATCAGTTAAACTAAAATCTTTGATGTAGTCAGCAACACATGGGACAAAACACTTTGGACTTGCCCATAAAGACTCATATATCTTACATTGGCTGTGCACAGTCAAGGGAAGACTTCTAATATTCAAAACCATTTAATATCATTTTAATGAAATTTCCTGATGGTACAGCAGTTAATCTTTGAGATTTACAACAGAAGAGCAGTAAAATTGTATAATCAACTCTCTTTGATGAGCAACAAGTCATGTTAAATCTCTGCTTATCATTTACATTGCATTGCAAAGACATTTGTAATTATATTTTAGATTTTTCATATCGATTTGCTGACTTTCAGTTTCAGGTACTTACAATTCAGTCACAAATATTCAAGTGAGATCTTGCAGTCTTGTAAAGATTGTCTGATATTCAGTGATGCATGCAGAGATTCAAATGAAAATGGTACCTAAATGTACTGAGAGGATAACTCTATCAAAATATATCATGAATCCCATGATTAAATAATCATACTTCAAACAATACAACTTTTATAAAGTGGGACATTTTTTCTGACTCACTCTTTAGTTCAGTGCACCGCACAGCACCTTCCGGGAGCCATCGGTACACCGGAGCCCGTAAGGTTATCGGCCGGCACTCGGGCGGCACTCGGCCATTACCCTGCCGGTACCCTTACGGGCGCCTTGCATTTCATTCCACCAATTTTCTCCGGGCACCTCCCGGGAGCCGCACAATATGTGACCACACATGCCGTAGAAATGAAAATCGTACGGTCTCTAAATCCATGGCAAGCCACCAGGTAGGGAAAATCATATGGGGCCCGGTTTATATGTGACCTAGGCATAATCGGTGACCATTGGTCCACCAAGATCCTCTGTTTCTTATGTTATTTGAGAGCTGAGTTGATAAGATAACCACCTGTCGAGTGATTTTGCAGTGTGGTCTTATCCCTCCTTTACACTAGTACTGATGAGCTTTAAAAGACTACATTTTGTGTATCCCTTGAATTGGGTTTCTCATTGAAACCTGTATTAAATGAACCTGTAAATGAAGACCACCTGCATATAAAGTCTACTTTCCATATTCCATTTGAGTGGACTTTATACACAGGTTTCACTACATACTAGTTCAAAATCTACCTTTTCTTTCTGAGCCAATGGGACCAAGTAGGGTACACCACCCACATCAGTGAGGCGTGGACTCCCACAAAGTCCTGAGGATATAAGAAGAAAAAGAGAATCACTTCCGTTTCAATGCTTGATCAAATATACAAATTTATCCTAATCACAAGGAAACTAAAATGTACAGTGCTTAACAAAATGTGCTTATAATTTGTAACAATTATCAAGTTGTGAAAAGTTCAATTTCCAAGCTGAATTGCACATGTATACCGGTATACAAGATAAGAAATCAAAATGAAAATGAAAATTACATGGCAATATATACAATTGATAAAACTGTGGCCTAACTACAATCATCAATATTAAGTTATACAGATAAAATACATTGTTAAAAATTTTGGAAAGTTATATGCGAATATTATCAATAAAATTTAATACATATAAAAATTTAAATTTATTAATGCAGTGGTCAAATGAATAGATTATTCATTTTGTAAACAAAAATAAGTGAAAAAGGGGAAAATATGTGGTATGGAAAACATTGCATTGAATCCCCCAATAGTTCTTTGAATAAAGTTTGAAAATAGTTTGCTAACCTGGAGCTGCAAGGTGGAAAGGTTGCTGGGTCAAATCTGGGCAGTCTACGACATTGACCTCAGCCGTCTCAAAACAGATCTTCAACCCCGTCTGCAGAACTGAAAGGAATGGAAAGGAACGGAATAAAATACAGTCAAGCCTGCTGAAAGGGACTTGGTAACATTGTCCAGATGAGAGAAAGTGGTGCTAAGGTAGTGACTTCAATGCTAGATGAAAAATTAAAGATAACCTGAAAGTTTTTGTGAAAACGGACCATTATCGATGAAATATTTTTGTTAAAGATTTGGAAAAACTGGTCTGATCGATTCCTTAATTCTCCCAATTATATTTTTACAATTTAATTACATCTTTAATAGGTGAATGTAAATCGTCACAAAGCAATGAATTGGCTATATATACCATTCCAGACATTTAAGTGTTGACAGATTTTTGAAAGCCTGTCTTATGTCTTTTTTTCATGAAAATCGGTTGGGAAATTCAAAAATGGTTGGGAGAATTTACTGTTAACCATAGATATCTTTGTAGTTTGAAGATTTTTGCATATTAGAGGGTTAAAACAGTAAAAGGAATAAGGAATAGAATAAGTAACATTTCGTACAAAAGTATGCAATTTTTTCATCAACTTTCAACAATGTTACCGAGTTCCTTTAAGCAACTACATGTATATAAAAGTAAAAAAGACTGCAAAGTTTTTTCCCCTGTAACAGTAATTTTCCTTCTCAATGCTATTTATATCAAAGCTGAAGGAAACCTTCCCAGGACCAAAATCCAATTGAAACCAGTTGAAATCTCCAACTGGTTTCAATTGGTTTCAACTGGTTTCAATTGGTTTCAATTGGTTTCAATTGGAATAGAAAATTTCCAGTTGAAACCAATTGCCGAACTGGAAAATATTGTTATGGGTACTCATTTCCAGTTCAAACCAATAAGAAGTGCAACTGGAACCAGTAAGGTAATTTTCCAGTTACTCAATTGGTTCCAGTTAGAAGTCATTTCCAGTTACCCAACTGGTTCCACTTAGCATTCATTTGCAGTTAGAAGTCATTTCCAGTTACCCAACTGGTCCCAGTTAGAATTCATTTCCAATTACCCAATTGGTTCCAGTTAGAAGTCATTTCCAGTTACCCAACTGGTTCCAGCTAGCATTCATTTCCAGTTAGAAGTCATTTCCAGTTACCCAACTGGTTCCAGTTAGAAGTCATTTCCGGTTACCCAACTGGTTCCAGTTAGCATTCATTTCCAGTTAGAAGTCATTTCCAATTACCCAACTGCATGGTTCCAGTTAGAATTCATTTCCAGTTACCCAACTGGTTCCAGTTAGCATTCATTTCCAGTTAGAAGTAATTTCCAGTTACCCAACTGGTTCCAGTTAGAAGTCATTTCCAGTTACCCAACTGGTTCCAGTTAGAATTTATTTCCAGTTACCCAACTGGTTCCAGTTAGAATTCATTTCCAGTTACCCAACTGGTTCCAGTTAGCATTCATTTCCAGTTAGAAGTCATTTCCAGTTTACCCAACTGGTTCCAGTTAGAATTCATTTCCAGTTACCCAATTGGTTCCAGTTAGCATTCATTCCAGTTAGAAGTAATTTCCAGTTACCCAACTGGTTCCAGATAGAATTCATTTCCAGTTAGGGGAGCCTTCCAAAGTTGCGACTGTGCCGCGACGCGTCGGGGCGCAGAGCAGGATATGAGAACAAAGGAGGCGCCTTATTGCGCCCATTTGCGCCTTTTTGCGTCGGATACGAGAGGACTTCAGTTGGTTTCCAGCTTATTAAAATCTGGCTATTGTTTGGCGTCTCATTGTTACGAAATTACCCCGCCGGGGCGCGCCCCGGTGAAGCACTTGACATTTGTGAAAGGGAGCTTAAACTTTGAATAGCTTTCGCGCCCTTTCGCGCCCGGTCCGGCGCATTAGTTATTCATGTAGTGCCCGCTTGTGTGTCGCTCTCGTCTTGCGAGATTTGACTCTGAAAAGCATTACTTTGGCTACTGATTTGTTTTAATATTATTTTACGTACATGACATTGGTTACAATGTTTATTCTGATTGTTTATTTTACTCTCAACATCGGAGTTCTGTAGGCGTTAACGTTGGCATGATTGTTCATTATTTCATCTCCTCCTGTTCTGTTCATGATTGTGTTCAATATATCAATTTTAATACAAATTGATTTGTTCACGAACAAAACAACTTTATTTTATACTTACCCCACTCTCTCTGACATCGTTTTCCTCGTGCATGTTTTGACACTTTATTTGTTTCATATTACATTAAAATTGTATATATTTCCTCTAGCGATGTTATCGCATGTTTCGGTTTTCTTGTTTTGTTTTCTTTAATTTTCGTTGCATCTTGTAAACAGTTCTGTCGTATGATCATTATAAATCATATAATTATATTATCAGTCTGTTTTTTCAATACATAGATCCTTTAAATCTTCTTAAAATTAGAGAACGTATTTTTAAATCCGTGATGTTGAAAATGATACTTAATCAAGAATGTCGTAAATTCTCCTTGAATTGGATTTAAAAAGCGTTTTATCTGTATTACGATTTTTGTATGCAAATGATATCCGTATTGTCGGGAACATCATCAATATGTTTCGTTAGAAGGAAGACGCTCATTTTCAGAATGTTCTTTCTTTGCAAAACACTAATGTTACGAACAAAATAAAATACACTGTACCCGTATCATCGGGGATATCGCAATACTCCCAGGGAGATTATCAATTGCAAATCAACATAGTAAATTATGCCTAAATCGTAAGAATAGAGCATGCATTAAAAAAAAGAGAGTTACCAGGAAATGATGTTTGAAATTTCACCTCGAACGTATCTCAAGCCGAAGAAATTAGTTTATCATTCTGTTCCAAAGAATTTTATCGAATATTTCTTTGCGAAGAAGGGGGAGGGGGGGGGGGGGGTTACATCCGCGGCCAGTTTTAGATCCAGGTCATTGTTGAGAAGAACTAAAATACGAATATATTGTGCTGAATTGGGGCCACGTGGTATCGAAAGAGCGTAGTGCGTTCTAGAACAAATACAAACCATGGCAATTCGTTGAATTGCTTCTCGTAACAGAACTGTCTCACTGTCTAAATAAGGATCCATCCGGGGGATCTATCATGCACGTGTTGGTTTCAAGTAGTAAACGGAATTAATAATGATTGCGTTGTTTTGGGGCCATTTTTTATTCTTTTAAATTTTGTTTAATTTTTTTTTTTTTTTTTTTTTTTTTGGGGGGGGGGGGGGTGGTGGCTAGCCCTTATTCTTCTTCTACTGGGTCATCAAGAAACACAAATAGTGTTGAAATTTTCCGCAATCCCTTTAGCGCCGAGGGTAGAAAAGCGTATAGAAAAGTCAGCTGCATGGACAATAGCAATTTAATGATGGTCAAACAATCAGGGAGAAATACTGGGCAAACAGATATTAGCCCACGTCTCCAATATAACCAGGGAATCCTGATATAACTAAGCACATGCTCACAATATGAATATCTTATCTGGCTATTGTTTGGAGACTCATTGTTACTGTCTGGTAAAGGGGTACTTTTCACGCACCAAAGTCCGGCTCGTCTAGTACACACAAATCCGGCCCGTATTGACTTTACACACCGGACTTAGGGGACTGTTTTCAAAAAGGAGGGAAAATGCATATGCGTACCCTACATAACACTCATGGGAGGGGGGGGGTGGGGGCGGTGCGCTTAACGGCGAAGCGCTTTTTGTGAATAGTGAATTTTTGAATGGGAGCTTAAAGAAAAGCTTTCGCGCCCGTTCCTACGCATTATTTATTCATGTAATCCCCGCGTGTGCGTCCGCTCTCGTCTTGAAAGATTTGACTCTAAAATTTGCACTTTGGCTACTGATATGTTTTATTATTATTTTACGTACAAGACTTTGATTTAGATTGTTGTTCTGATTGTTTATTTCCCTCCCAAACATCGAAGTTGTGTAGGCGTTGACGTTGGAATGATTGTTCATTTTTGTTCATTAATGTGCTCAATACTTGTATTATATTAATTTGTTCACGAACAAAACAAAAACGATATGTATAATTGTATTCCTTCTGTATGTTTTGACACATTATTTGTTTCATAATACATTTATTTTGTTCTGTCATCCGATCAAAATAGGTCATATATCTATATCATCAATCTGTTCTTCTCATGCAAGACCGATTTAAAGAATAGAAACGTAGGTTCTCTAAATCTTCGCAAAATTAGCTATTGTATTTCAAAACCAGTGATTTAAAAATGATACTTATAATCAAAGAGATTGAAAGATTCTGCTTGAAATAAGATTATAGGGCGTTTATAAATATGTCATACGAAACAAACAAACATCTGCAAATTAAAGATATTACACAAATGATAGTCGTATTGTCGGGAGCCTGCATCATCAAAACGTTTCGGTAGATGGAACAATTCGATATCGCCTATCTGTTTCAAACATGAAATTCGATCGAATATTTCTTCGCGAAGAAACTGTATTGGTGGTGGCATTTGTAGTAACAATTTCTTGTCGTCAATAATTGTTCGTGACGTTTTGACGTTTCATATTTGTTAGCTAGCGCTAGTAAATTCTTTTGTTTTAACGCGCACTGTATATAGTTATAAGGCCTGAACACGTTATGTTCACATTGGGTGTTATATAGCATACGGATATTCTAGTACATGTAACTTTTACAAGCACGTTGTTATTGCAACGCAATGACAAAAGACAGCTCTTTGAGCAGCTAATAGTTGTTGCGCCCATTGTTCCGCTCATAGGCGTCTATTCCCAATTACCGGGCATTATTTGTTATTGTATCATTAGTTAAGTTTATTAATCTATTCATGTTTTCTATTTATTTATTTATTTAGTTCTGGGGAGGGGGATGTCGTATTACGAATTCATGACCCTTATACATAATGACCATGTTCTCAAATTACGAATAGCGGTCTTCATGAATAGTTGTCCAGTGAATAGCGGTCCTTATAACTAGCGAGCGGAGCCCTCCTGATGGGCCTCTGCCATTTTGGTCCGGCCGTTCACTTCGCCCCCCCCTCCCTCACACACACACACACACACATAATACGCAGCCTTATTGTAGCTAAACAAGAATCTATAGCAAGTTGGACAATTATAGCGATCAAACAATAGCCTTGCTCGGCCGCGTGAAATCCTGCCACGGCATTCTATGTTTTTACCTTTAGAGCGAACTTTTCTTTTGTATTCGCTCCATAGAACTCTACTTTATCTTACAGCGAGGTGAAATGAAAAGAGCGTCATCATGAGTAGATCTTTTGTTTGATGTTATCCTTCTTCTCCCTAGTTAAGTCAAACCTTCAATTTAGGCCTATCCACTTCTATATGAAGCATGTGTATGCTCTGAATTATGCTATGGTCACATTACCCAAAAGTAGGCTGCTCGGCGGCCGAGCGGCGAGTTTTTAACCAATTCTGCCCGGCGGCTGCCCGGCCATCGAGCGGCGGCCGCCCAGGCACCGCTCGATTTTAGGGCATCGCTCGGTCGCCGCTGAAGTTTTAGCGCGGAGTTAAAATTTGGGCGGCGCCTGCTCACTTTTCACTCGCCGCCCAAAATACGCTCGGTGCCTGGTAGGTCGCCGCCCGGGCACCGACCTAATCGCTGGGCGAAGCCTAATTCCAGCAGCGACCGAGCAGGCTACTGATCGGCCGGTCGCTGCTCAGATTTGTGACCATAGCTTTAGGCAAACAGGGGACCGGCGCGGTTTAAGTCCTCTCCGAACGAAATGTAATGTTGAGTTATGCCTTACCATTGCATATCGACTTGGTTTCTAATCAGGGAGCCCCCGGTTACGAGCTGCTCTGCTCTACCACTGGGCTATAGCGCCTCCCTCCTTTTAAAAAGATCTTTTTAAATTTGCCTTCTTTTTTTTTTAGAATAAGAATCAAAACATGTTTGGTATGTTTTTGTATCTGTGCATTATGATTTCAAAATTTCACTTTCGCCACTTAATTATACAAATCTACGAATAAATGATTCGAATGTTAGAGCAGAAATCAATGTTTGTATGTGTGTCCCTGCCCGTTTTGCGATCATTTAGTACATAATAGCGCAAAGTAGAAGTCGAATGATAAATTATCACCATGAACTGATTAATGTTTTGTATTGCATTTCCAAGTGCTGCTTAACTTTATCACCATCAGCCTACGCTTTTTGTTTACATCTTCATGATACACATGTTTTATAATCTCGATATAGTTCCCGGACTCTTTTTTTCTATTTATTCCACTTTTAAAAAGAGCTATGGAATTATTATGATTAAAAACGCCTTTTGGACGGGCAATTTTCGAAGGCAAATCTCGGGCGTGAAATCCTGCCACGGCATTTTATGATTTTTCCCTGAGGGCACTTAACAAAATATACATTTTAAACGTCCCCGCCCGCTTCCTTTTTGGGGGCCGCCTCCTATTTCTTATTTTTGTGGAAATTTGTTTTAATTTTTTTTTTATTTAATTTTTTTTTAATAATTAAAAAAAAAAACATGAAAAACACTGCTAAAATTGATCTATTACTGATTTTTTTTTTAAATTAAAAAATCGTCCTTGTTTTCACGAAGTGACGGTAGTGAGGAAAATCGTAACGCAAAGTGAATGCAATTTTTTCACTACCGTCACTTCGTGAAAACAGCGACGAAATGTCGGCGGCCATATTGAAAAATAGCCCGACTGTCAGGGAAAATGTACCGAGCGGCCATTTTGAGCGGCCATTTTGAAAGAAAAAAAAAGAAAAAAGAGGGCCTCCCCCTACCTATTTTTCGAAAAAACAGGACGCTAATAAAATATTTTTTTATTTTTTATTTGGCCTTAGAGCGAACTTTTCTTTTGTATTCGCTCCGTAGAACTCTACTTTTATCAAACAGCGAGGTGAAATGAAAAGAGCGTCATCTTGAGTAGATCGTTTGTTTGATGTTATCCTTCTTATCCCTAATGAGCAAACCTTCAATGTATTAGAACCAAGTCATGGGAGGAGAAAAAAAGCAAGATTTGACTGACAAAATATAAATTCTTCCAAGCTCAGGCTGTGGCGATTTGCAACGCGTAGCGTGAATATGAATGACGGGAGAGAAAGATAATTCCTTTGTCCATTATTAACGACGCTAGAATCATATCGCGATGTGGGAATTATACAAATATGTTGATAATCATTCAAATTACAAACATACACAAGCGACCCAAACAGTAATCAATTTGCCGACTATAACGGCATACATGTAGTCATTCACACCATTCGTCTTTAATTTTGTTTTTGTTGGGGACAATTAAGCTCGCAATTAAACAACCATTAATCGTACATAGTCATCTTTATTTCACATTTCATACAGTCGTCACAAAAATTAAAAGGAGGCGTATAAAACCCAACAAAAATAAATCGCAATTTATTCTGATCAAGGTGAACGAGTGTGTTGATTGCCCCCCAAAACAAAGACGATCCCACCAGACAAGTTCATGCTGTGCTGTAGCAATGTACATCGCAAAGCTTCGCCACAATGATTGGAAAGATAATACCCCGCCCGTTACGACGCAAAACGGCGCGAGAAGAATAGATCGCGACGCGAGAAGAATACATCATTTTGTTTTACAAACAATGGAATGTTTATCAGAACGAAAACCGGAGGAGGGGAAGACAGGCTTTGACCGACAAATACTTCCTGTATATCAAGTTTAAACTGTACCGCGCATCACGAGCGAGAACAATGACGGGAGAGATAATCTTCCATCGCCTGGTGGGGCGCAAAAGGGCGCAAGAAGAATAGAGCGGGTTTATACCAACAATAGACAGTTTCTTTTCATATGCAAGAAACAGGTGAGGGTGACTATTGCGCCCCTTCGCGCCCCTTTGCGCCTCAATACGTCTCTTGGGACGCGACTGTTCTATTCATCGCGCCCCGACGCGTCCGGGCACAGTCGCAACTTTGGAAGGCTCCCCTTACCCAATTGGTTCCAATTGGAAATATTTCCAGTTACCCAACTGGATCCAATTGAAACCAGTTAATTTGCATATTATATGCTTGTGTGCAGATCAATGTTTTATGTAATTTATTTTGATTTACAATGTACTTATTAATTAATTTTCATTTGCAAGTAATGCATTTGTTTTAGATAAATATAAAGATTAATTAGCAATGATAAGCATGTTCATTAGTAACATATTTTTGTAATTACACAGATTAAAAGTTGATTAGTAAAACACTAACCATGTACAAAATACATCAAATACAAACATATATAATGGCAATGCCTTCCTTGTAGGCGTTGTGGCGTGCGCCTGTAATCCAGCTAAAAAGCGGAAGTTACAAACTGATTCAGCCGAGGACGCAGGTTCGAAACTGAGTCACGTCTTTCGGATGGTGACGTTTAAAGGTCGGTCCCAGACGTAAATAATCATATCTGATTGATACACGTCTGTAAAAACCCAATACACACACACACACTTGTTAAGTATATTATATAGTCTGCATATTATAATGCCCTTTACATTGTACTTAATGTAGACACATAAAACAATGTTTCTGTGTTGACATAAGCGATAATTAGTGCAAGAGCTAATTAACTTATAACTAATTAAGTTTATGCCAACTGTAAGTTTCAATTGGATCCAATTGAAACCAATTGAAACCAGTTGAAACCAGTTGAAGCCAACTGGTTTCAATAGGGAAATTGGAACAACTGGTTCCAGTTGAAACCAATTAGGCAACTGGAACCAGTTGGCAATTGGTTTCAACTGGTTTCAATTGGAACCAGTTGGCAATTGGTTTCAACTGGTTTCAATTGGAACCAGTTGGCAACTGGTTTCAATTGGAACCAGTTGTTCCAATTTCCCTATTGAAACCAGTTGGCAACTGGTTTCAATTGGTTTTGCTCCAATTGGTTTCAACTGGATTTTGGTCCTGGGTTGTAGAAGGATCACTTCTTCCTCTTCATGGCGAGCGACCGTAATCAGCTAGCTGATTATTTTTATCATTTCTTCTCCTCCTCCTCCTCCTCTCCTTCTCCTCCTCCTCCTCCTCCTCCTCCTCCTCCTCCTCCTCCTCCTCCTCCTCCTCCTCCTTCATACAACGAAGATTATGCACTGCAGTGTGGTGTGTGGCATGTCCAAAATGTGTGTAGGCATCCATCCAGGTGTAATAACTTTGTACATTGCAGTAATTTGATTTCTTGTTGAATCGATTGTTTTATTCTGTTGAGGCCTGAAGGTAAATAAAACCCAAGGAGCAGTGTTGGAATACCCCAGTATGAAAAGTTGACCAGGCCCAGGGTAGGGTCGTTTCATCAAAGTACAAGATCAACAACATCTCAACGCTGGCAATTTATCAAAGTGATTAGTTTAATAACTAAGGTGCATATACACAGAGTAAGCTACATTCAGTGAACTCCATGGCACGCAGTATCTTCGAGAAAATAGACAGATTAGCTGAAAGCAACTTTCTATATTTTGATGTTTTACAAGACTTGTTGGTATTATTTTTTATAGTACTAGGTCTAGGGTCTATATAAAGTATTCATATTCATAATTATATTCTCTTTCAAACTTTTTGCCGGATTCCAGCAAAATCAGCCAGTTAACTCTCCCAAATGTCAGTCTTATTAAATAATTATGATCACCAAACCCTTAATCTGCACTGAAGAAGTACTAGAAGGGCGCCGGCGCTGACATGAGGTCGAACTTCGAAGACTCGAACTCGAAGAGGGAAATGATGCTTGCTCTAGTCTTGCCCCCCCCCCCTGGTCCCGCTTGCCTCCCTGACTAGTTTATTAAGAGTACCAAAAGTGACAAGAAGACAGACCTGGAAGCTCGACTGCTGCCTCCAGTAGGCCTGTTTGCGGTACTAAAGCCTAAACAAGGTAAAGGTTTACCTAAGGAGTAAGGTTGATCTAACACAATTTAACGCGTATGGGACTACATGCAACCTTACTTCAAAAGAAATTCACGTCAGGATTCGAAAATCCACGCACTTAAAGCAAATCTAGTGATTAAAAACTCACCACTTGATAGCTCATCTAAGTCTGGAACAACCATTGCTCTGCGAGTCACTGGCATACCGGTATTTGCTGCCATTTTACTTGTTTAATCTCGTCGATTTTCTTCAAAGTGGGAGGAGACTGCTAGTCTTTTTCAAGATCCTTTTGATGGTAGTGCCAGTAGTGATATAAGCACGAGAGTTGTTTTTAGTAAACAACCGACAATAACAACAACAACTATACATAAATAAAAACCTTTACATATATATAGACCCTATATATATATATATATATATATGTGTGTGCATTTTATTTCATAGTGTATAGTTATTTGGAAGACAACAATATATCTTCAATAGGGGGCCATTGGGTCGATGCCGACTGCATTTTGCTGTATCATCATTTATTTATTGCACAACCTTCGTTGCATCATTGATACCGATAGAGCTATATATATTCAGTTGCGGATCCAGGGGGGCACAGGGGCACGTGCCCCCCCCCCCCCTCCCCCTGCCAAAAAAAGTGTTGAGATCAGCCCCAAATTCGCCAAAAATGTACTGGCAATCGGGGACGAAATAAAGTCAACAGATAATTGAATAAGTCATAGCTCAAAAAAGGGCAAATTGGTGAGACATGTAAGGAAATGTTCTCAAGATAAATCCCCTACTTAATTCACTTTTACAATTCATAGACACACTATATCGAGTGATTTACTATGACAGCCACTAGAGATTGAAATTTTGTAACTTTGCCCTTTTCAGTTGTTTTAGGCTTGTTAATCAAGTCTTGATTTACATTGTAACAGTAAAAGCAAGGAAGCCTAGTATTCCAAAGTAACAATAAAATCACGAGAATAGCAGCGTTTTGATTTATACGAGAAAGACAAATAAATACCTACGTATACTATAATGAAAATTAACAAAATTTTACCCGACGTATTTTGTATTTCCACGTTCGCGACCTCTTTTTCTGTGGTTGCGCTGGACACAATCTTTACGCATGCGCACTTCATGTTTGTGACGCTTTCAAGGGCCAGCGCGGATTATCCAATGGGAAGCGAGGGTTGCAACGTATTCCTATGCCAACGCGTAACTTTGAGCCAATGACGTGTGTACGTGTAGAAACATCGTCGGTCTCCAAGCTATCGTGCTAACAACGGAGCAGTACACACAAAGAACGTCAATGCATGTAACCTGCAGCGCAGGCATACGAGAAAATTAGATTAGGGAAAAGTAACACTAATTCAAGGAATTTCAAAGCGGAAAAAGAAACACATATCTAGGTTTAATGGACAATAAGGAACTTTTCATGTTCTTTAGTACAACATTAATTTTGTAAACATGGAAGTTTTGGATCAAGACAGGGACCGCGAATCTGACATAATTTTTTTAGGAGAAGATGAAATGCCGGTAAATGAAGTCAGCATAAATGATGTGACATTTCAATTTGATTGTGGAGAAAATAGCTTACCCGGGACATCGCATCAAGGCAACGAATTTATTGATCTAGAACCGTTTGGAGAACTGCTTTGTGATGGGGAGGAAATCGTAGGTGTTGGAGAAGAGGAGGAGGAGGAGAAAATTCATTGGGATTATATACCCGATGTCATCTTGGCAAAGATAGCATCTAATTTGTCACAGTGGGATAAATCTGAAATGTCACTGGTGAGTAATTCACAAATAATTCGATTTTTTTTTTTTTTCTTCTTCTTCTTCATCATCTTCTATTTTGAATGAAAATTTTTAAAAATGAAAAAGAAGAGAAAGGGAGAGGGGGAGAAAAGTGAAAAGGGATGTGAGTTGCAGGAGAAGAATGTGGGGGAAATAAATGAGTAGGCCTACTTATAATTATCATGATGTGATTGAGGGTATAGACAAATGTGGGGGAATTAAAACTTACACAGATTTGTAACATGTCCATTTAACCAATAATATCACTTTTTACTCTGATTGTCAGAAAGGGAAGAGAAAAACAGTTTTCGACAAATTTTTGACAATTTTACAGACACTTTTTTGTCTCCCGAGAATCACACACGGCCTTCCTGAATTCCCTCACTGGTGTTGATCTTATATAGTGGGGAGGTGGCTAAAATAATTACATGACACTCCCCCCCCCCCTCCCCCAACCCCTCCCTCTCCTTTATTGTTCTAATTTCCCAATGGGGGCTCAGCTATCGCTTCGACCCATCATAGATCTAATCATGTATAGTGGGAGATATTTTAAGACCAACTCAGACATGGTCAAAGGAAACTGAGTTTTCACGTATGCCGATATACTGATGTGACAGATACAGTAGGCTTGCGGGTGCACCATGTGAGAGGGAGAGAAAAATGTTTGAGGAGTCCTGAAAAGGACTCTGACTCGGTAATCTTTCTTGGGGGTGTGTAGTCCGGAATAGGACTTTTGTTATCTTTCTTAGCTTTGACGTGACAGAGTTCTATCAATTCCTTGTTCTGTAGGTTTGCACGAACTGGAAGCGGGTGATTCTAAGAGCTCCTAGGTTATGGCGCCATCGCATCATCAGACTCCGGGGAAACTTCAAAGACCGTCGCCATGTCAACTACGCCAACATCCTCGGTCGCTACCTCAACCGTCTTCATCTATCCAGTGGACTACGGAGCTTACGCCACGTTCGAAAGTTCCAGCGCGCCTTCACATCCATCTTCGCCGAACTCTACCGGCAGAAGGTTCAGCTGAAGGAACTGTCTCTGACGGAGTTGAAATTCCATATTCATTTTCGCGGCATACCGGGTGGGCGTGCGCGTCAAGGCATAATTCGTTCTGCACGTCGCTTCCTCGGCAGGCAGGGGAAACTCCACTACTTGGATCTGAACTACGGCGGTATGACGTGTGAGGAGGGGATAGTGTTACTTCAAGCTGCTAGCGAGAAATCAGCAAAAGCCTTAAAAGCCCTGGATATCGAAGAACTATTTCGACCCGGAGCGCCCATCCACCAGAGTTCGGAATTTGCAGCAACTTTACCACGGTTTGTTAATCTTGTACAACTGACTATGAATTACTCTGCTCTGTCCGACGGACTGTTGATGAACCTCGCCGAGCAGAGCAACGGCGCTTTGGAATTTCTCCATGTGAGATGCATCCGAGGTGAAAACCTGAACCATATCATCGGTACACCGGCATGGAGGGCGTTCTCGGGAACGATGTCCAAATGTAAAGTGGAGTTTTCTCTGCTTGGAGTCATTCGTTTGAACGACATCCAGCGTGTGCTGACGCCTCAGATGCCACTTCATACCTTGAGTGTGGTTGGACACAATGACGATTCTTTTCAACCAGATAGAACACTGAAATACGTCTCACGTTATCTCAATAATGTAAGTATGATTTAGAATACTCGTGTTATCTAAATGGTTGCATCACTAGATGGAATTTTGTTTTAAAAAAATATTAACCCTTGAATCATATGTAACTACTTTTCAACGTCTCAGATCATTTTTTTGTACTTTTTCCCAATAAAAACCTATGTTTGTTAGAAAAATGCATTAACTTATAGGAGAATTATGGCAAACGAAGTTCTTTATTAAAAACAGACTTGGTTAAAGAAGTAGAGTTATTAATACTATGTGATTGAATTCTCCTGTAAATATATAATTTCGATCCTTCATTTATGCAGACTATTGAAAAGGTAGTCATCGATGTGTCGCCGTGCTACAAACTTTACGGGCGTGGCTTCATCGACATCATCCGAGACAGCCCTAAACTCAAACACCTGGAGGTTCGAGGTCGCCTTCGTTGGCATATCATCCACGATGTCTTCGAGTTTCTAGACATCAACTTCGTTCGTCGCGGACTACGTCCGACGTTGACCACACTACGGATGCTGGTGACGAGCTCGCCGATTGAGCCCTACGAAGACGAGGCTTTCGTCGTCGAAGAATTCCGCCCGGTGTTCTCGAGATTCGATCTCATGTACGAGCTCGTCATCGAACCCATGTTTTTTCCCCTGCCACTGGAATTTCGTGAACCCCGCCGAGTACATAATTAACAATTTATCAAAGGTCATTATGGGAAATATTGATAGAATATAGTAGGCTGGGACGGAGGATACAGCGAAGGACGATTAGGAACATAATTAAAATAGTAGTTTGGAATGATGAATGGGACAACATCTAGATAGAATTCATTTAAGGCTACGTTCCGTAGATATTTCGTCCACGATTATGAAAATAGATAATTAAAAGATTGGGTAGGAACAGCTTCGCGTTGCAATGAATATACACATTTATTGCAGTGTAATCAAATTCTATTGATTGTCTGAAGGGAAATTGCAACCAATCAAATGACGTAACTTATGTTGATAAACATCTATCAAGTCCGTTAACAAAATAATGATTACAATGAAGTGATTATTAAAACATAAAAAATACTCAGTGTTGACGAAATAACTTTTCTTGAATCGTGTCTTGTTTGACTACCCCCTAATACATAAATGACCAATTGTCACTTCCACGTTTTTGTTCTCTCTCTCTCTCTCTCTCCCTCTCTCTCATTCTATCTCTCTGAATCTCTTTCTTCTGTTTTTTAACACCAATATAAGGCCTACCCCGACTGTGGCATTTGAAGAACCAAAACCCAAATTTAGTATTTCCCTGTGAAATTTTACATTTCCTTTTCGCAGCTCAACCGCATCACCACAAACTAAAGTCGAACATGATTTTAAACAATACAATACTCACAAAATAACCATTTGTAAAGTCAAACCACACATATTTTAATGATGGATGTAATACAATACAAAGCACAAAGCATGAAATTACTCACGTATTTTATGAATGATCTGATTCTCAGTATGCCTTATTTTCAATCAAGGGTAATTTCGATACACGATATCATCATGAACATTTTAAAAATATCCTTAAAGAAAAATGTTGACACTGTGTTAAAAAGAGATTTACGAAATTTCGGATACAGTTTGAACTATCATAATCATATTCCAAATTGTCAAGTAGAAGCCAAAGTAAGAAAATTCTTTCTTTTTGAAGAATTTAGACATTATCATGCATCTTATGGTGTTTTGGACTAATCAGTGTCATTCTATTTTATGTTCAAATTCGAATTGATTGGTTTCCTGATTATTCTTTTTTTTCAAATTAAAATTTTCATGAATATGATTATGAATTGATACATTTTTCTATTACATTGCATGATTGGATATATATGAACATATGTAATAAAATGACCATGTTGAATCCGTACTTAAAGGTAATACAAAGTTTTGGGAAATTTTGAAATTGGGTGGATAGTGATTCTTTACAATTTTGATATATTTGGATGCCCCTATGGATGTATTATTACCACAAAAAAATTTAGCCCCTAAACTACCTCTGCTTTCGAGAAAAATTGAAATATAAAATTTTTCCTGGTATACTCCCGGTAAATTTTGATAAATTTCAAATAGCGCCTACTGCCGTACAATGGTAGCTGCGACCATGAAAATTTCAGAATATGTAGTTGAGATATATAATTTCCGAACGGGAGCAACTAATCGGTAGATTTTAGCCAGGAAACATTGTTGTATAGCTTAATTAATATCTTGACCTTGAGAGGGAGCTATTCAACATAAAGAGTTTATAATTTACAATTTCATAACTTTAGACTCGATTTCAATCGCGACAACGATCACTGAATATTGTAGGACTGCATATGCGTCCAATATGTTCATTTGAACCAAATTCATGACCCCATACCAAAACTTTGTATTACCTTAAACATAGGTTAGATATACATGTAGGAGGGCAACAGCGTAAGCTTGAATTTGAAACTTGAAATTATCAAAGAAAATAAATAAGATCAACATTATGTGATAAATATTTAAACACAACTTACATAGTATGTTAAGATTAGGTTCCAGCCTCATTTGCTACCAGATCAATTATATATGCCATAAAATGTACACAGCTTACATGGCATATCAAGGTTAAGGTTCCAGCCTCATTCGATACCAGATCAATTATATATGCCAAAGGAAATTGATAGTGCCGGCCTTAATCAATTTGGTCATTGCAATAAACTGCATCACAAACATAAATGACAACATGACTTTTTTGAAAAAGACACTTTGTACCTTAATAGAAAAAAAAGTATTACTTACTGTTAATGTACTTTCAATATAATATACAAACACATTACTTTATATTTGAAATATAATGGATATGAAATTAAGTGATAAGATATTCAATAATAAAAATCAAATCTTCGTTTAGATATGAAACGGTAAACCGCGGGATTTAAAAAAAAAAAAAATTAATGATGACGCAAGTGTACTATGCTTCACAGTTCTGTATCATTTAACACAGACTGACAGCGCCCAGTAAATATGCGCGGAACTTTGGTTGAGCACAGTTGCAATTTTTTGTGGCGATTTACCGCGACACATCTGAACAAACCTTAAGAAATAAAAACTAAATATGCACCCTAAACTTAAGGCTAAAGCCTCTCTAAAAACATATACTTTATAAGATATGATTACTTTTCGACCGTATTTCACCTTTAAGATCACTTTCCCGAAGAGTGTTAACACGATGGGCAATAGTTAGGATGGTGTCATCATGGAACTGCTTCTTAATAGCCTGATGAAGACGTCAACTTGATCTGTTCCTCTCTAAAACATTATTATACTCTATCAGATATGACTACATTTCGACCGTTGTCACATTGGTCTTTTCAAATTTGGCCACCCTGCCAGCGTCCATCACCAGGATGCGATCACTGTCCCTCAGAGTGTTCAGACGGTGGGCGATAGTCAGGATGGTGTTATCCTGGAACTCCTCCTTGATGGCCTGTTGAAGCAGGTCATCTGTTGCCATGTCAACGCTGGCAGTGGCTTCATCGATGCACAATACCTGTGGAATAGATGCAAACAAATTGGGTTCATTTTGAGCGGGTTTTTTGTTCTTCGTCGAACGTACATCTATATTAATCAACAAATCGTTCACCCTTATTGGTTACAAATTCGTCGAAGGATTAGCTAGACTGGCTAGTAAATTGCGTGACCCCAAGTATTGTATGTAAATATACATGGAAGTAACATCAGAGAATATTTTGTTTTTCTATTTTAAACTTTAGCCGTTTGCTAGTTATTCATATAATTTCAGTAAAAGTTGTTGTGTTGTTAATAACAGTTCAGAAATATTTGCGTCCTTGAAATTTGGTGTTCGTATTGCACTATTGCCTTTCAGATAACTTCATATTCTAGGTTATTATTGATAAATTTCCTTAAAGCTTATCTGCACTAGTTTGGCCAGGAGGTATTAGACCACACAGCAAGATCACTGACAGGTGGCTATCTCATCAACTCAGCTCTCAATTAACATAAGAAAAAGGGATCATGGGGGACCAACAGACACGGATTAGGCAGAATTTGCTATATAGAGGGAACAATCTACAAGTAGGCCCGTGGGGCTTTAAGAGGAAGAAATACTTTGAGGAATATTCCACCTACCTTTGCCCTGGTCAGCATGGCTCTGGCCAGACAGACCAGCTGTTTCTGACCAGTGGAGAACTGCTTCCCTCCTTCACCTGCCGAAGCCTCAAGGCCTCCCATCCGAGAGACCACATCCTCCATGTGGCACTTCTTGAGGACACACCACAGCTCTGAGTCACTGAACTGACCTACAGGATCAAGGTTCTTTCTGACGGAAGCGCTGAAGAGGAATGGGTCCTGGGGTATGATGGCCAGTCGGGACCTGGACGGAGTGAGCAGGAAATATCATTGTACATAAATATATAAGAATGCAGAGGCTGCTTTAGGAGGCACCCTTTAAATACCTAACCTGGCATACCTTGTAAAAAATTGGCCTCAATTTGTTCTTGTGCCCCTTTGGATTTAAAGCTGATACTCTAAGACAATCCCAAATACTGAGATAATTACATAAATAGAAAGCTTTTAACCCCCATAATAACACCAAATGGTGTCCACCCGACAAAACAAGTTTAGAATAATGAATTTATTCGAGTAAACTCTACCAAAATATCTAAGTCTGAAACCCGGAAGTGCACGTAGAGTCGGGCCTCTATCCGTGACGTCACGAACGGGAGTCATGGGCTCAGTGAGAGTGAATGGCAGTGATATCCCTACGTAAATGCTATCCTGTCAGAGCTTAGATTTGTTGTTGTTAAGGAGTATATTTGATGGATTTTCTGTTTACATTTGAATGAAGAATAACGAAGCAACATTTTCCAGTCGCTGATTTCTTTTTATATCCTCATATTCACCTATTTGGTAGAGATTTAAGACGAGTTTACTGCTTAGGAATTAAAGTTAAATCGTGCACTTATGAATAGGCGGATGCATTATAAATTATTGTCATCAGATGTACATGAGCAGTTTTGTAAAACGAATAGGTCTAGAACTATGATAGTACTTATCATAGATGTGTGTGACTGCCTCAAAAAAGGTACCAGTTAAACATTTTATGTTGTAAAATATCAAACTTGAACGAGATCATGCAAGCGCGCTTCCTCTATAATATTTTGGCGAGTGATGCGGCTCTTGCATGAACGTTCGTGGAGCGAGCAGAATCGGGAGGTAAGACCAAGCCGCCGCTCTAGGCGCTGCTTGCTTGTGGTGGAACGTACGTGCGCTAGTTATATGTTTATCGGCAATTGCAAGAGAATGAAAGTGACGTTGCCAGCTAAGAAAAACAACTAACAAAGACTTGCTCCTGACTACCGGTGTCAGAATTGGTAGATGAAGGATGTTCAGGGCCAAGGAAGGCGAAAGACATGGGAAAAAGGAAGAAGAAACCATCGGGAGATCGCTGCAGTGTATGGTAATGAACTGTGCATGGGTAGACAGCTACTGTTCACTCCGTGCCTGGGCCGATTTCAACACCAAAACAAAAATTACATGGTGAAAATATCGACTAATAGCACATCGTTGGCATGTATATGTCATAATTTTTAAAAGGGGAATTGATATTAATACTATGAAGTACTAGGGGAAGGTAAAGAATTGTACATAGAATTATGATTTATTAGACTTTTCAGCCTTTGAAACAAAAATATGCAGAAAATCGTATCACTCTGCACATGTTTGCTATGGAACATCCGGGTACGTGAATATACTCTCTCCCGGACGTGAGGTCATAAATAGTAGACCAGCGTCGTGACTGATTTTCTATGCAAAGAGAGGCGGATATTTTAGACATTTCAATTGAGGATTTCGAGTAGACAGATTTTTTTTGTGATATACTAAGTAATTGAAAAACTTAAAAATAACATATACTTGCCGTAGGTAACAAATTAAGGGACATTTATTTGCTTAGAGTATCAACTTTAAGACCCAAAAGTCAGTCAAAATAAGTCTTTTTTTTTCTTTCTTTTTCTTGCTTGTAAGAGAGTTTCTAAATCATGCTTCCCTTAGAGAATCCTTGATCCGCTCCTGATTGGGTGTGTCTGTTGAAATTACTTATTAAAATAGTGTATGTCTTGAGTTGATAGAAAGTGGGTTTTAGGAATGATTGTTCTGCCTTTAGTGAACACCTTCTGCTTTATATGGATAAGGAAGGGTTTCAATATTGCACTGAGGACTAAACGTTGACTTACGAATTGAACAATTCACATTATTGTGTAATAGTTATTCATGTCCATGCTGCGATTATATTGCAAGTTTATTTGTTTTAATCTAGAAAATAACTAATACAAGCATTTACATATTGCTCCGATTGTCTCATTTTCGCTCGCGTGAACATTGCCAGCACAAAACACTGACCTTTACCTCCTGGACGGATCATCGCCCATTCCCATTCACTATACGTTACGTACCAAAATGCTGTATTGTCTGACCGTTCATGAATATTCATGTTTTTGCTAAACTCGGCAAAATGTTTGCTTTTACTAAATGGAAAAATTACGGTGGGGGTTGGATGAAATGGACATAATGAGCATAGCAGTCCAAAGTTCGACTTGTTTCACATGTGTATTATAGGCAATGGCGAGCTTGCAACCTATTTTGAAAAATTACGGTGGGTGAACTTTCAAAAGTCAATGAGACATGAGGGCTCCAATGAAATAGCTAGTGATAACGTACGTCGGGGTGGATGTGCTTTTCGTTTAAACAAAAAATGAATTTTTAACGATTTTTTTTAAAGAAAACGTCCATAGGCTAACATGTATGGCTGCTGACTCTGACGATAGGGGGCGTTGTGAAATGGGACTAAACGGAGCTATATGTATCCGAGACAACCGAGTGGAAAAGACAAAAACAGAGACAAAGACTCACCTGACGACTTCCAGAGACAGTTCAGCCAGGTCTAGACCATCAACGGTCACCGAACCCTCCTGGATATTGACCATTCTAAAGAGGACAAGAAACAGGGTGGACTTCCCCGAACCAGTTCTTCCCACGATGCCGACCTTCTCTCCAGGACGGGTCTCAAAATCGACCCCACTCAGAGCCCTCGGATGATCCTCGCGGTACGAGAACTGGACATTACTGAACTTGACCACTCCGCGTTGAGGCCAGAGAGAAGGAGCCTGCAATGTAAACAAAATATAATGTCACGCTATGAAGGAGGCACGATGGCACAGTGGTAGAGCAGTGGCCTCGTAACTGGGAGGTCCCGGTTTCGAGACCAAGTCGATGCAGTATAAAGGCATTAATCCCTATTATGAAGTCTCTCTGGTAGGACTTAAAGCCGTCGGTCCCCTAGTTGTTTACCAACCAGCATACACATGCTTTTTAGTCGTTAGGTAAGGACAAACAAAACTGTACGCTAATAGACATACCTTTATACAATATATACATAATTATACAACTGAGACGATGTCAATATGACATTGTAGTGTATTGTGCTTTTGCACCGCGGTCCAAACATCTCCTTTCCGAGACGTATTGATTGTCGTTTATGTATAACTTTTCTCTTATCGTGGCCGTTTGCCTATCAAATAAAAACAAATATATACACATTATATTAAAGTTCAATCAGTTTCATCATCATCATCACCATCATCATCATCAGCACCATCATCATCTTCATCATCATCATCACCATCATCATAACCATCATCATAACCATCATCATCATCATCACCATCATCATCATCATCATCACCATCATCACCATCATCATCATCAGCAACATCATCATCATCATCATCACCATCATCATCATCACCATCATAACCATCATCATCATCACCATCATCATCATCATCATCATCACCATCATCATCATCAGCACCATCATCATCATCATCATCACCATCATCATAACCATCATCATCACCATCATCATAACCATCATCATCACCACTATCATCATTATCATCACCATCATCACCATCATCATCACCATCATCATCATCAGCACCATCATCACCATCATCATCACCATCATCATCATCATCATCACCATCATCATCATCAGCACCTTCATCATCATCATCATCACCATCATCATAACCATCATCATCACCACTATCATCATTATCATCACCATCATCACCATCATCATCACCATCATCATCATCACCACCATTATCACCATCATCACCATCATCATCATCATCCCCATCATCATCACCATCATCATCATCATCACCACTATCATCATCATTCATCGCCATCATCATCATCATTATCATTATGATCATCATCATCATAACCATCATCATCACCACTATCATCATTATCATCACCATCATCATCATCAGCACCTTCATCATCATCATCATCACCATCATCATAACCATCATCATCACCACTATCATCATTATCATCACCATCATCACCATCATCATCATCATCATCACCACCATTATCACCATCATCACCATCATCATCATCAGCACCATCATCACCATCATCATCACCATCATCATCATCATCATCACCATCATCATCATCAGCACCTTCATCATCATCATCATCACCATCATCATAACCATCATCATCACCACTATCATCATTATCATCACCATCATCAACACCATCATCATCATCATCGTCATCAGCATCATCATCGTAATCATCATCATCACCATCATCATCTTCACCACTATCATTATCATCGCCATCATCATCATTATCATTATCGTCATCGATCATCATCATCATCATTACCATTACCATCATCATCATCACCATCATAATCATCATCTTCATCATCATCATCATCATCATCATCATCACCATCATCATCATCACCATCATCACCATCATCATCATAATTAACATTACTATTATTATCATCACCACCATCAGTAACACCATCATTATCCTCATCGACATCATCACCATCACTATCATCGTCATCATCATCATCATTAAACATTACAATTATTATCATCATCACCATCATCAACACCATCATTATCCTCATCGACATCAACACCATCATCATCATCATCATCATCACCATCATCACCATCATCATCATAATTAACATTACTATTATTATCATCACCACCATCAGTAACACCATCATTATCCTCATCGACATCATCACCATCACTATCATCGCCATCATCATCATCATTAAACATTACAATTATTATCATCATCACCATCATCAACACCATCATTATCCTCATCGACATCAACACCATCATCATCATCATCATCACCATCACCATCATCATCATCATCATCATCATCATCACAATCATCATCATCATTATCATTGCTATTATTATCATCATCACCATCATCAACACCATCATCATCATCCTAACCATCAGTATACCTACCTTCACCAATCCAAGTTGTGGCTCGTTTGCTATAGCTGTCGTGTAATGATGTACTCGTTCTGTACTGATCATCTGTTTCTCGAGCTCAGTCAGCGTATTAATCACAGATATCAGCCGATGTGTGTTGGCCAAGGCATACGTCACGGCCAGACCTACCAAGCCTATGATAAAGACACAATTAAACAAATTGTTTGATGTGTCTATTGTATTTCTACGTATATCCTTTAAAGGTAAAGACCAGTTTTGGAAATGCACCCCTCCCAAAAAATGAAATTGAAGCTCTTATTACCAATCATGTGAAAGAATATGTTTTGACTAATACGTGATGATACAAATTTTGCCGAGAAACCGCCTAATAATTGATATATTTGGTAAATTATTATATCTATTTGGACCTGATAGATATCGCGCACGTGTCGCCTAGCCCCGTATACATCTTTCTGTATACAGTGCTTGTAACTTTACTAAGACTGGGCCAAATTCCTTATCATTTTGATGATTCTAGAACCTTGCAGTTCACACCAATACTTATATGCTAGATGATCAACCTTTTCTGATCGATTCCACGACGTTTCTTTCACAATACAATCGCATGACCATAACTGGTCTTTATCTTTGAAGAACAACTCTCGCCGACCTAATAGATTGCAAATGGTGCCAAGCCAATGAAGAAAAAAAAACGTATCTATTGATTTAAACTTTAAAAAAGAAGAAGGAAAACAACTATTCAGAAGGTTTCACTGTCACCCTACCAAAGGAAATGAAAATAAATATAAGATGATTCGAAATAATGTGTCATTAGAATTGAGACAGGCTGAGAGGATGGTTTTATAAACTTTCCATTTTCCCAAACCGAACAAGCAGAATTGTTTTAAAGATGAATGAATATAAGGATGGTTGATATGTGTGATTTTCGTTCCTGTAGGTAGCAAGTATTGTAAAACGCATTTATTATTTGATTGACGTTCTCATTTTTATGCACTTTAAACATAATTTTAAGCGCATTTAATCATGTTACAGAATGTTTTGTATAAAATACTCTTAACCCATCGTTGCAATGCATAAATATTTATTATTATATTTCGGAACATAGGAACGACCTTTATTATCATTATACATGAAAATACTAACCTGGATCGATAGTCTGAAATTGGTGCTGAAGAATGGCCGAGACGGAAACTATTGTTACCATGGCAACCCCAAGCAGTTTTAGCCTGAAGAACATCCAATGAGAGACGGCGTCAGAACATAGCCAGGCTCGTTGGAAAAGATCTAGCTTGGAGCGGTTTTCCATGCGGAATCTGTGTAATATAGACATGATTCATTTCATTGTATACATTTCATTGTTAAACTGTATTTATTAACTTTATTTCCATAAAGTATTGCAAATCCTTGAAATAACGAACCCTATTTCATTCTCGAAAATCCGAACTATTGCATATTATAATCAAATCTTCGGAATAACGCAACAAAATAATATTCAAAAATGAAGAACCCTTATGCATTTCCCAATTATGAGCCCCCCTGGTATGGGAAATCTATGTTTCGAGATTGCAAACTTTCGGACTTAGGAACATTCGGAAAATAAAGATCGAGCGCCTGCCGTATTCAAAGGAGTCCATGGATATCAGAATGCATACCTCTTTGTAGCTCTCATTCCCTTGATGACTGTTAAGCCGGCTAGTGTCTCTGAAAAGTGACTGCAAATGGCAGAGTTGGAGATGCTAGTAATGCGGCGTAACTCTCTAGAAGTCTTACGATAATAGTCCTGAAAGAAAAACATGTACAAACAAAAGTACAAACAAAGTTAAGATTTATTTCAAAAACATTATGAAAGGAAAGGGATTTCGGACAAAATTTGTGCATTAAAATGCAAAAATGACGTGCATAAAATGCAGCGAGATTCTAAGACATCCGCCAATTTTTTTAAATTTCTTAATTATTATCAATAATAATAAATAATACTGATAACAATAATAATATAAATAATAATAATAATAATAATATAAGTAATAATAATAAATAATACTGATAAGAACAATGATAATAAAAAATAATAATGAATGATAATAAAAAATAGTAATAAAAACTGATAATGATAAACCATTTAATATACAGTTGACAACTAAATTAATCGTACCCCTAATACATTTGATGTTTTCGTGTTTATACAGCTCACGAAAGGTGGGCTGGTTAAATTAGAGCCTTTGTTGAATATCAAGAAACGTAAATCGGGACAAATCCATTATTCACATACTTAGAAAATTACAAAACATGGTAAGAGTATGAATAATTTAATTGTTAACTGTACACGTACCTGCATGTAATAGCATATGACACCGAGAGGTATGAGACAGAATATAAACCATGGAAGGCTGTATGAGGAGAGGATGATTGCTCCTACAAAGCAAAGAACCTCACTGAAAAGATGGTGCACCGAAAAAGTCATGTCAAGGTCGATTGTGGAGACATCGGCGGTGAACCGGCTGATGATTCGACCCACAGGGGTAGCGTCGAAGAAAGATATTGGAGCCTAAGAAAATAAAAGAAATGATGATTATTATGATGATGATGATGATGATGATGATGATGATGATGATGATAAGGAAAGGCCTAATTGAATTAAATGTTAAAATAAATGATAACATTAGTAATATTTATCATGACAATAACAGTTGTAGCAGTAACAATTGGGACTTTTAGATTTGCGTGGACTGATACGTGTGACGTCCATTCAAGGCAATCCATTAATAGGACGTCGATCGTAGCAATCCACGTTGTCGTTGTGCAAATCTAAAGTCCCTAATAATCATAACAGCAACTATGATAAAAATAACGATAATGATGATAATAATAATAATGATAATACAAATAAAATGACTTAATCAGCACGGAGAGCTCCAAAACAAAACATAAATGTTCTCAGCAGTGTGAACACAGATGCTTACCTGAAGGATTGTGTTCAGATGTCCACTATGGATGACCATAAAGCACGTATAACTCAATAACAAAGCATGAATGTTTTCAACAATGTGAACACAAAATAAACACCAATCAAACTCACTCTGAGGATGCTGTTCAGTAGTCCGTCGTGGATGGCAGTAGCAGCACGTATGGCTCCATAACAAAAGATGAATGTATTGAGCAGATTGAAGAGAGAACTGAGACCGACTACACCGGCGTATACTCTCAGGTAGAACAGTGGGGATGCCGAGATGGACTCCTCAGCATGGCTCCCATCTGGAGACCTGTGAGGAGACAGGAAGATGGTGAGAAGTTGAGAGAAAGAGATGGAAGATTAAGAGGGTCTGGGGAAGGAGTAATCCCGCCTTGTACACATTCACAACTGTGAAACATTTGTAAACCAGTTGCCTTGTTTGTACTATAGCCCACATGCTAATGCAAACACAATAACAGTCACGCACCCATTTATAAACCTGGGTGGAGAAATGGAATGTGGATAAAATGCCTTCCTTAGTCATGTAAGCACTATAGTGGCCGATTGAGGGGCAAAATACGCCCATGCCCCTTCCAAAACACAATTTGGTATTCTTAAAATAAAACGGAACTTGGGCACCTTAATATTTTCTTTTTAAAATATGTTTTTTCTTTCTTCGTTGCAACATTTTTAGAAAATACGCTCCCTTTTCCAGGATTCCGAATCAGCCCCTCGCAAGTACCACCGGGGCTCGAAACCATTGCCTTCACATAATATATTTCACTTTTGAAATTAAAAAAAAAAAAAAAAAATCTTTGCAAATTCATACTGAACATATCATGAGATATATATTTAGTCCCTAAAAGCACGGGTCTTGGGGTGAGGCAGCAATATAAACAAAACAGACATACATATAAATTACATGATAATTGTAATTTACAAAAATTGTTAAAAACCACAGCACTCCTAGGACATACCAATAGCCTTGAGATGCTAGATCCATAGACAGATTGATGGGGTGAGTATGCGATGGTTGATGAGGAGATGCTATGGTCTCCTCGGGGTCACCTCTGGTTTGGCTCACCCAGTACGAAAGCCACCAGTCACTCACATTTGAAGTCACTGTAGTAACACAATTTAAAACGACAATCCTTTTAAAGAAGACCTTATAGAACATTAAGAAATACAACACATTATTTACGAGAATATAATACTTAAATTGTCATTTATGATTTTTTTTTTTCAGCTAGTATTTTATATTCTGGACACATTTCAAAGAGGGTTCGAGTACAGAGACAGCGATGATATGACAAAATCAAGAAGATATAATTAGCATAATCATCATCAATATCAACATTTTTTGAATCAATGTGATTTTAACTGCTATTATTATTATTGATGTTGTTATTGTTATTATTATTATCGTGTTTACTATCATGTATACTACAACTAGTACTAACAGAAAGAATTTAAAATCAATTACTCAAATTGTACCTGAATTGTATATACTTAGTGAAAAGGGGCAGTTGGTCTAACTTTAAAATCATGTTTCGAATGCAACAATAGTGTAGGTCAATATCAACAGAATATCTATCATTTACCTTGCATGAGAACAAAGGTCAGAAGGATGAAAGAAGCTAGGTTATTCCCGATAGCATTCCAGTACCATTGGTACACCTCAGATTTGACCACGCCCTCCTCCTTCTCCTCCTCCTCCACTACCTCTTTCTTGGCGTTTCCATCGTGACCTTTGACCTCAGAGTCGGACACCTTTGCCTCTACTTTGGTGTCGAGTTCGCAGTGCTTCAGATGGCCCGCATACTTGGGGTTGTTAAACACCTCACTTGGAGGTCCTGAAACAAACAAAATTATGAAACTTATTATAAAGCTTGTCTTCCTCTGTATGGCTTGAGGGTGTTTCACAAAGATCCTAAGTTGAACTTATCTCTACGTTATGGAAAGCCATTAAGCCATAGGCCTAAGCATCCTTGAAAATATTTTGTAAAATTTATTTCAAAAGGCTTAAAATGATGATTCAAATCATTCATATTTTCATGCTCTTGATGTGGAATTTAAGAAAAGTCTAAACTACTTGAACTTTTGCTTTAAAATATATTTCCTTATAAGGCTACAAATGGCTATCCATAATTTTTAATTCCAACTTAGAGAGTTAAGTTCGACTTAGAATCTTTGTGAAACACCCCCACGTCTTATGAAGGCTAGCTATTATTGCAGTCCATCACTTACTCACAGAAGTTTATCTCATATTACATCATGAGAACGCTAAGATCAAAGGATATTGTTTGAAGACACAGAGGAGAAATTTAATCGAAATGAACCTGGAGTCGGATATTTTATTTGGGTACTTTCTTAGTTCAAACGAAAATTGTTTTAAACACAACAAGGCGTGTCACAGCACTGGAGTGAAATATGAACAAGAATAACTTTCGAGCACCATCATTTTTTATAGATAAAACTCCGATTTTAGTTTGATATGGACATGTTCAGTCATCTATCATTACATCATTTGCAAACGACTGTCCGACATGTTTACGAACGAAAAAATTACTCGTGTGCCAATTAAGTGATTGGTCGGAATCAATCGCAACTGCAGATTTTCAATCACTCGAAATCCTTCTCATAATAAAATAAGCGATAATATTTTGGCAGTTTATTAGGTGTCTGCGAGATTTAGGCCTTGAGCTAGATTTTGAGTTGTGTTTCACCGCAACTTTTTTTTTTAACGGCCCGGGACTTACCTTACTATTTATCGAGTAACTTAACCAAAAATTCCGATGTAATGTGGAATTCTCTTTACCCTTTTTCAGGATTTTGAAATCCTCCATGACGACGACGACGTCAGCGTCAACCAGGAAACGAGTGTGGTGTGTACATAAGATCCTCGTCTTGTTACGTAACAACCCCATGATGCACTTGGAGAAGATGTGTTGTCCTACCTGGGCATCCACAGCGGCCAATGGATCGTCGAGAAGATAGATCTCGCTGTCCTGTGGATAGGATGGGAAATGTAATGATTTGAAAAATGCCATGTTTACCTAAAGCCCCTCTGCATTATTTTATTCAGGAGGGATTAGACCTCCCTGCATGGTCACTGATAGGTGGTTATCTCATCAAATCAATTCTCAATTAACATAAGACAAAGAGGATCATGGGGGACGTTCGAAATTCACCTTTGCTTAAATCATTTTAGTACCCATCTCGTAACTTATTAAACTTTTTTATTTTAACGTTTAAACTAAACGGATGCGAGATGATAGAGATATTATAGTAGTTTTGTATCTATGAAAGAAAGAATGTGATAAGCTTATCATATTGTTCAAAATTGTTGACCTAAAAATGTTACTATAGCAGCTCTAGTCGAAATCAATTTGCATACATGTATCATGATACATGGACCTCCGTGTAGATCAATCCGTGGATCTTGGTCTGTAGCACCACACCGTGTCTACGGGAATCATTATTACTACCAGACACTTTACTTTAGCTTTAATCGGATTCATGGTCACAAATCTACAGAATTTACCTTTTTTTGATAGTTCATTATTGAAGAAAAAATTATCTAAAGATCATCATTTAAAGACCAGTGGTAAGAGCAACCAGTGGCATGAATGGCCTACCATAGTTAAGTCCAACTAAAGTCGATCTTAGACTTTGTGAAACACCCCTAGATATACTACTAATGAACCACTATCATGATTCATTCTTGCCAATTGCCATACCTGATAGACAGCCCTGGCTAGAGCGACCCTTGCTTTCTGCCCTCCACTGAGAGTGATGCCTTTCTCACCAATCTCTGTATCATCTCCAGCAGGCAATATCTACAACGCCATACACAAATCAAATGAAGAAAGGATCTCATTCAAGTAGGTCACATGATACAGGATTGGCCATTCGTAGTGCAAAAGAAATAACAACTCACAAATCACTTTAGCACAGGTGGGGGAAATGAAATGAAATTAGATGATCATGTTCTCTATAATGTACCAGATATTTGTTTGTAATTTATCAATCATATTTTATATATTTACTTGTCACGTTGTAATCAGTTTTTAAAGTTAATTTGGAAAAAAATAAAAAATAGAAAAAAGAGAAGACAAACCGAATCAAATCATTCCATGTTTATTTCCTTTGAATTTTACTGTAAGTACAATAATGAAATTGAAAACGAACCTACCCGTCATATTTGTCCGCGCCAAAGCGCGCTGCATATGGCCATTCCATTTATGCTTGCAGTAATCTCCCGGTATTATAATTAAACCGAACCCCCACTCAAACAATTTTGTTAAACATACCCTAATCCTAGGTAATTTCGTTAACTATCATTCTTTAAAACTGGGACATAGCTTGCCCACAAGCAATTTGTTTGCTTTTAAGGGCATCCCACCACTTAGCATTGTGATTGTATTGTTGTATTTTGCCTTTGTGTTTACATTGTTCTTAAATGGAAAATAAATGAATTGTATTGAATTGAATTGAATAAAATACCTTTAAATCTGCCAAAAGAGCACAGGCCTCCACAACTTGGCGATATCTCTCAGCATCGTATTCTCTTCCGAAGAGAATGTTCTCTTTGACGGTTGCGTGTTGGAGCCAGGGTTCTTGAGTAGCCACTCCGAACCCTTGATGAAGCCCAGCCACGCTGATGCTCCCACTCTCCTTGACCATGTCAGCTAGGACGGAGGATAGCAGAGAGGTCTTTCCCGATCCCACTTTACCAATGACTCCAACTAACTGACCCTGTAGGAATTTAACCAATCAAATGAGTAGCAAAATGCCTTTTGGTATTCAAGTGTTTGAATAAACCTATGGGATTTACCTCCTCTTCATACGTTATCTTCATTAACAGAGTAAATTCTTCTGGATATAGAAAATCTCTGCCAATGTTGCAGAACTATGACTACTGTCACTACCATGTCATTTGGTACCTTGATTATATGTAAAATTTAACAAGATTAAACAGTTAAAAAAGAATTAGTATAGGTAATGATATTCATTGCGTTGCTTGAATATTTAGCTTACGAAGACAAAATAATACAGTTTATCCAACCTGTCAGCTGGACGTGTTTAACATTAAGCTGTTCCTATCAGGTAATAATATAATACTTGGGTCGAAACTGGCAATGTAGGCTTCTTTCTTGCCAAGGACTTTAGTGCCCTGATGGGTCTCGAATCAACAACTTTCCCATCCCGAATCTATTATTCGTGCCACTAGACTACATTATCATTAAATGGTGCATCATTTCGCAAATGTTACCTTTTTGACATGCAAGTCAATCTCCTGAAGCTTCACAATGTTAGGATGCTCTTTCGTGTCACGTCCTTCATTTTCTGTATCGTCTTTGATCTTCTCTTCTTTACTCTTTTTTCTGTTATTGTGCTTTCCCTCTTTATCCTTCTTGTCATCATCTTTTTTCTTGGGGTGTTCCCAATAAAAGATTCCCTGCTTGATTCTCAGTGCTTCTTCTCTTTCTGCTGACGGATGGTTGCCTGTAACATCGGTAGATAGACTGAAGTTATACACATGACAAGACGGCTAAACATGTATATCTTTGTTTTTACATTTTTGACTGGTAATAGGAACAACAGTTATGACAATTGCAAAAAATGTAAACAAATTTATTGAAGGTTATTCTGACAGTAATTGTCGTAAAACTAAGGCTCTTAGATTCAACACTGTTAGGCGAATTTAGGATGCTTAAATGAGCCGAACCCTTTCCCTTTTGATAATAATAATGATACTACTACTACTACTATTACTGATAATATTCATAATACTACTACTACTAATAATAACGATATTAAAAACAATGATATTAATAATGAAATTTTGTTTATCCAAGAAAGCCTTATGAGTATTAATGCTATTCTCCTTGAGGACACTGTAATTAATATACCCCAGCATTTGCAAGCTACCATTTCCACCTGGTGGGAGTGGCAAATATGGATAATACGTTAGAGCCGTGCCGGGATTCGAATCCTTAACCCTAGGATTGTGAGTCAAGTGAATGAAATAACTATACCACGACATCTCTATAATAATTGTATGTCATCCACATCAAACTAAATCTAATTAAAATATTTGCTTTTTAATTCTATTATGAGCAAACTTCAGCTTGATCTAATTGTTTTTGTGAGTTATTTACTCATCAAATTATCCATCAAATGCCTAAAAAATTGGAATAATTTTCTATTAACATTATTCATGAAATTATTGTAATATTATATATTCTTTATAGATAATCATTTCATGAAATAGGTCAGAATAATTCATTGCAACTTAATGTGCAACAGTGTATTTTAAAAGAATATATACAAATTCGTCACGTGACATTTATTTGAAGAATACTACACTTTTCATCCTGACTGTGTGCAATGTCCAGTTTGACTGCTCTCTTGTACTTGATCAAACTTGTTTTTACACCTCATATATAAAACTACATGAATAACCATCATACCTGGTAAGTAGTAAAAAGTTAGGTCGGTCTCCTCTAGGTCCAGATATTTTTGGATTCTTTTGAAGGAGACCCAACCCTCTAGGAGACTATTCAGCACCCACGGTATACCATTGACCGGTCCGTCGAGCATGGAGAAGAGTGCAAGGCAGGTGAAAACCTAGTTTAAAAAATGTAAAAGAACATTATAAAAACCTCGATTCAGCTAAGATTTTGGAAATATTTCTTTTACTCAGACAGAGGAAGCAAGACGATGGTGAAAACCTGCTAAAGAAAGGAAAGAAAAAATGAATCACCACTCATTCAAATGACCAAATACAAGGTCCTAAGAGATGGTAAAATAACTAAACTTGAAGGAAAAAAATAATTAGCGGCTGTTTCTGCATTTATTGATAAATCCAATATAAAACATTCAAATAAACAATAATTAATTAACATAAAGAGTGACAACTTAAATACACACACACACATACAAATGCATATATAATATATATAATTGAAAACTTGAAAAGTATGGAGGTAAGTAAAATAATCAAGATAAATGCAAAGGCCAACTAGGCATGAATTTCTTTGGTCATTATCATTTTTTTTCTTCAAAATATTGTCTTGAAAAACATGATTCCCGAACCCCCCAAGCAACGACCTTCAGCTGGGACTGGAAATCGATTTTCATTTATTTTCTTTCGACCTACCTTTGCAGCCGTTAGTTCATTTCCAAGCAGTGTGTAGGAGGTGAAGGTACATAGCGCTATAAGGATCGGTGTAGTGGAGCATACACAGTGGTTCAAGGCACAGTAGTACCTGATACCCTTCAAGCTTCCAAGCTCATCTGAACGAAGTTCATCGATCTCCTTCTTGAAATGGCGCTCCCAAGCAAAGAACTTGATCACGCGCATCCCATTTAATACCTCATGCATCATCTGGATTAAAAATATACACAAGTATATCACTTTTACTGGATTTTGTAATACTATATACGTATGTCTAGATTTTTTAAATTGCTTAATGTAATATGAATTGCTTCCAGGGCCCATTTGCATAAAACTTGCCATTGATGGTAACTTTGCCATCAATGGCAACTTCCATGGTAACATCGCTCAACAGCCAATCAAAATCAAGGTTTCCATGGTAGTTACCTTTGATGACAAAGTTACCATCAATGGTAAGTTTTGTGCAATGGGGCCCAGGTTTGGTGAATCTTATATGATCAATTGTACTATTTTATCACGATGGATATATGTAATTGATAATATTTAACAATTCCAATGTAAACCGTATGTGATGTACTTTTCTTTTGAATGATATTTTCCAAATAAAGCTATCGATGGGGCGCTGACATCATTAGAGGGAGGGGGTACTCCACCGGTGTTTAATACATGGTGATGAAATGTAATTAACTAGGTTATTAATTAATTAGGGAGAGGAAATGGGAGGAGTCTTATCATCTTCTTTCTACGTTCGTTCTGTTCCCCATTTCTTTCATTTTTATTCTACTTCTTTCAAGAGGTGTCTTAAAAACACATCTTTTCTAATTTCTATAAATGTATTCCTTTTTGTTTGTTAATTTAAGCTTTGTATGGTAATCTTATTTTGCCTTTTCCTTGTATTTTGTATGCGCTTTTGATCTTATTGAAGAGGCGCTTTACATTTGAAATGTTCTTATTCTTGTTTTGTTTTATTTCAAATTTGATTTAGGGACACAGGCCCCGGGTGGCACGTGTAGCTAAGCCAAGGCTTGAATATAAATATGTGCAGTCGAAGGAAAACGGGGTAGAGGCCGTCCACCAATATCTTGGACAGATGATATCAAGAAAGTGTCTGGACAAGGAATGAAAGGTGTAACACAAATGGCAGGTGAAAGAGTTGCATGGCGTGCTCTCGTGAAGACCACAGCAGCGCTTTACAGCGCCACCTGAAGTTGATGATGATGATTTATACCTTAACTCTGCTGTCTTTGTGTTTCATCAGCTTCCGATGGTACCGGATAATCTTTGTCATGATGAGCTTTGATAATGGCATGATCAGCAAGGCAAGTCCCACGCCGATGATGAAGGATGTACCCACCTGAAAACAAAACAAAAATGATACAGGAGTTTAAATGATGTAGAATTGTAGATCGAGGCAATAGAAAGGGATACTCCAGATTTCTTAAAAATGATATATGGATTCAGGACTATCACCATTGTTTTAAAAACTTACCAGTATTTCCTTAAGTTTAACCATCGTATTGTTATAGAACGAGTAAACTGAGAAACGCTCATTCTTGATTTGATATTTTTATTTTAATTACGCTTGCTGTTACTGCATAACAACGTGAATAGACTTCTTAATAACTTTACTACACACTTGGATCCTGGATTATGGTTACCATGGTAATAACACGTCTTTTATCCCACATGCTTTAAACATGATGATAACTATGTATGAAACGTTCTTTTGAAATAAAGAGTTGATGAAATAACAACAATATTCATGTGGCATCACTGTAAAATGGTCGAGTCACATTTTAAATATTACTTTTGCTAAAAAACAACATCTATTGGTATATTTATGACTAATATATTTTCTGAAATATTTTTAAAATATACCTGTTGATAGAGCAGATACAGGATTACGGCGAGTTCCAAAAGAACACTCCAGGCATCGTGGACGCAGTAACAGAGCCGAGCTATCCTCCACGCATCCACGTTCAGCATGTTGGTGATCTGACCAGTGGTGAAGGTCGACAAGGCTCTTGAGCCGACTGCAAGGGTCTTCCGGTACAACGTAGTCATCACGGTTGCCAGCAGCTGCATTTCAAGTTGTACTAAACGGAACCCGTAATGGCTGTTTATAATGGCCCGGAGGCCAGTGGCGATGCACAGGCCAAAGGCATAGAGGTACCCATTCCGCACAGGTTCGTTGGAGTTCTCTAGGTAGGACAAAAGGGCGTGTAAGAGCAAAGGACTCGCAAACATACATATCTTGGCTAAGAGTCTGAAAATACCCGCGAGGAAAATCTGGACACCAAAAGCTCGAAAAAGTGCCCGACTAAGGGAGATTCTTTTATGGTTATCGTCATGAGGTATCTTGGAAACCTTGCCATCCTCTTGCTTCACAGTACTAGCTTGGGTACCGCTATATCTATTTCTGACCGGATTTGGAGTGGTTCTTTGGGAACCGATGCTGCTGGTAGAGTCCTTAGAATCGAAAACGTCTTCGGCGAATGCTGTTGATCCGTGTGAGTAAAAACGAGAGAAGTAGTTCTCTACGTGACTGGATGTGAGTTTCTCTGGAAGCTTATAGACATCGCTGGCTTTCTTGAGCTGACCATTGGCACCTTTGCGCATGATATCCTGGACCCAACCAAATGTTAGCTTTGAGAACAGACTAGCATGCTCCACAGCAAGATGATTGGAATCAGACGGTTTCCCTGCAGACTCTTTGCTAGTCTTGCTGTCCCCACTAATGTTATCTTTGACGGTGGGACAAGCAGAAAGGCCGTCACCATTTGTATGGTATACAACTGTGTGTCCGGGTGTTGGCAAGAGTGTCAACAGATACATGACTTGGAGGATACTGGATGCAACGACGATGCCTTCCTGCTCAATGGTCGATGATGTGTCTTCCAGAATCCGGTTGATTACCACGCTTAGACGGACGCATTGGGATACAAATGTCAAGGACCAAACCAACATCACTGGTGTGTGTGTCCGTACAAGCCGACCACTCTGCTGTCTCAGCTTCCACAGGTACAAAGACATCAGAAGCCATGCAATAGATGATGTTCCATCAAGCAGGAGGTCCGCAGGAGCCGACCTTGAGCTTGAGGTGAACTGTACAAGTAGGGGTCCCAGAGCAGGCACCAGGGCAGACGAGACAGCGATGACAAGGCGAACATGCAGGGTTGCAGATCTCTTCAGAGTCGATTCTGTTGGTCTTTCGTTGGTGTGATCGAGACAGAGGTATAACGCACTGACAAGCGCCAACAAGACATGACTGACAAGACCGAACATCAACTCTTTCTGGATGCTACCGGAGGAGCAGTGTCCAGGGCTTTCTTGATGCCATAGGGTGTCGTTAATAACATGCCTCCAGCAGAAGAGCTCAACTGGAGAAGCCATCTCGTTTGCTTTACAGGTCCTGGAATCATTTTACAGGCAAAAGACAAAAGTCAAAAGAAAAGAAAAGGAAATAGTCACGTTTAAAAAGTTACCCTGTGTTATTTGTTGTAACTTTTAATGATCTTACATAATGGCATAGGAAATAATTAAATTGAAATACAATCAAAGTAGCTTGGGAAACGTTTTTGATGTTGGTCATTACTGGCCTTGTTTTTCAATAGCCGCTCAATTTCATGTCAAAACTCTATTATTTTTCTATTGTTACTGTACAGCACGTCAGGAATGTTCATTATTATTCGCCTTTTAATACAGTATAACATAATAATATTTAAATATGATATGTAGTCAGTATAGACGGTAACACATAAATTTGTTAAATTTTCCTTTCACGTGCAAGTTAAAATGTATAAATACAAGACAATGCAATTACGATAGAAAGAAATATGGATAAGAAACAAAATGATTATTTTGCATAAAACAACCAGTCACTGAAAACAAGTACGATGAAATAATGAGTCAAGTAAAAAAAGAAAATTGATTCAAGTCCCCATAGAGAACTGAATATTTCTATCCGAGCATGCCGGGGGGTTCCAATCGTTGTGGTTGTCAGATCAACTTTAAGTTGGACTTTATTATGGCAGGCCGTTCATGCCACCGTTTGCTCTCACCATTATGATCTTTAGATAATACTTTTTACTTCAATAATGAAATATCAAAAAATGAAAATTCTGTAGATTTGTGACCATGCAGTGGCATGAACGGCCTGCCATAGTTAAGTCCAACTTAAAGTCGATCTTAGTCTTTGTGAAACACCCCCAGGTAGGGGGGCAACAAGCAAGAGATCGTGGTGACAGCAAGTAGGATAGCGTTTGTGAGGGTACAATCCTCACCACCCCCCTCCCTGAATAAAAAGAATTTGCCTTTGCAGTGTATATAAAAACGTTGCATTCTAGCAATGCACCCTGATATATTTCATTTCTTAGCAACAATTATAATATTGATAAAAGCAATAATGATAATAACGATAATAATGCTAATATCATTAATAATATTGATAAGGCCTAACAAAAAGATGTTGTATTGCCCTTTGCGACCGACCCAAAAATCTTGAAATAAACGGTCGGCTTTTTTTAAAAGTCGTTTTTTAAACCGTTTTTTAGAGAAAAAAAATATTAATGCATTCAAAACTGAAAAATATCAGCGTAAAGAGGGAGAAGATAGAAAGAAAAAAAGTTTTAAAAAAATATATTTCCGACCGACCGGCCCATGTTTTGGCAGAAGAAGAAAAAGAAGAAATGAATGAGAAATAAATGAGAAATAATATTAATATTACTGATGATGAAATTGATTACAACAACACTAATTATCTCAGTAATAATAATGAATTTGGCTTTGGCTGTGACCGGAGGGAATAACTGGTTATTCTCTGACGACAGAAAATTAAGAGCCATCAGAGTTCAGGGGTGTCTTTTTATTGTGGCCATTTTTTTTAGGGACATAAGAAGTTAACAAATTAGTGGATGAAAGACAAGAAAAGAATAAAGAAAATTTCAGGTGTGATGTACAATTTTTAAGCAAATTTTCTTGTTATACTCGAAGTGTACTTAAAATATGCCTCATTAGGTTTTGCCGAGGGGAATGTCGTGCCCTCACACCCCCCCCCCCCCCCCTCCACCCCCGATCAGCGACATAATTATGATTATAAATGACTATCAATTTCTCTCAGTGCGTGTCTGCCACGCATGACACTTGGTTCCTAATTACTACTCCTGTGTCGAGAGTGGCAAATGTAGATATATTGATGTTTGCCAATTTAAGAAAGTCGGTACTACCTGTGGCAGAGATTCGAACCCATACCTAACATAATGAGTGACAGTCCGCATATTGTTAAGGTGACACCAGTGTGACGAATCCCCACAAACACACACACATATACACACCACCACAAGCCCACCATTTAAAATGTGTTATGAAAGGCAACGTAGCAGACAGTGCTCTCATGTGTTATTACAAAGTGAGAACCGCCCCATATAAATATATAGATAAAATGAATGAATGAATGAATGAATGAATGAATGAATGAATGAATGAATTGAATGAATAAATTAATGAATGAATATGTAAGTAGAATAGATAAAAAAAAAAACTAACAAATAAATGACTGTAACACAATTAACAAATGTATCCCTTAGTCAAATAAATAAGTAAGGAAATGAATACCGGTAAATGAATAATCAATAACGACTAAAACATATACATATTCTTCGGCCTGTGGAGTCTGGATTAAATTTTCGAGGCAGCATTTAAAATTGAAATGCATTGAATAAATGCAGCGAAAAATTTGTGACTCGGATACCAACTTTAAAATGTAAAGCTAAGCATTTATCCCCCAAAATCACTGCTACACTGTTGCTAGAGAATTAGATGTCAAGAAATTATTAGAGGTACCGGTATTCTATATAGTAAGACAACCCGTTTGTCTTGATTTACAAGCAGAATTCTGTATGACTCACCGAAATGTCAGGATGAAAATCTGTTCAGATTTCCATAAATTTGAGACTCTTCGGTGAAAAAAAATGATGAAGTTCTAAGAAGCAGCAGGAGCGGGTGAAGCCAGCCACGATAAGAGATGAAATGGAATGTGGTCCCCCATCTACCAGGCTAGCCCCCTTTTATATCTACCAATCAGTTCCACTCTCTGGTGATTCCCGGGCTCGCTCGATGTCGTTAGACCCTCAATTTAGCTCGAGATGGATATATACACAGGCCAGTTCCAAGACGATTACGTAATACCCCCTTACTTGCTCAATGGATGGGTGAATCACTCCCGGTGTTACTCTGTTGCCAGGGTTGCACCGACCGCACAGCCTCGCGTGCCGGTGTGACGGCGTTTAGTGTGACTGGCGGATCGTGTTCGCGGAACAAAATCCGCCGGCAGATATTGTTCCCGTCACAAAATCTGCCGGCAGATATTGTAACCCACCACGCAGAGTGGCTGGCAGATAGTGTTCCGTTTTGCAGCTATCGTTCCATTCTGAAGGTATCGTTTTTATGAGTGGTATACGGTCTCCGCTTGCTGCATGCATGCATGCTGGCTAGGCTGCGTGCGATTGCAATTGCATGTGTACCGTAGTACTATACTGTATACCACCATGGATGCTGAGTGCGAGTACGAGTTCGAGCAAGATCGAGGCCGCTCTTATTAAGAGTTTTCTCTTAACACCGTACTTCAAATCAGTTTATTTAAAGGTAATATCTTAGTTAAGGGAAAGGAATATATCATCTCTAGTTATACTTATTTCATTCAAGCACTATTTATTTTCATTGTATTTATCACCAGGATCTTCATTGTAACAGTATATTCCAGACAATGATGATATTTTTTATCACTATTTCAAAAAGTCAATTTATATATGAATAAAAAATATCTCTGGATATAAAAACAAGCGTTCTATGACGAAGTTTAAAAAAAAATTCCAGATCACTCGCTTGCTCACAAAGTATGTTCTCGATCACTATCATAATCCAAGTTCCTTTCTGATAAAGATGGTAATCCATTGTGATAGAAAGGCGACCAACATGTATATTACACTTTGTGTCTTATGAAGGAAAGTAAACAATAATCCTCCTCCATAATCGCCAATTTGTACACCCCTCCTTGACAATAGAATTATGCTGGATGAAAAAGAAGAAAAAACATTTCTGTGAAAAAAAACTTCATTATTTTGGCTTGCTCGCTCGCTCGCAAATCTTTTTCTCTTTCTGTATCAGAATTGCTATATCTTCACTATTTGTGCTGATAGAAAGCGAGGGCAGGTGTACCAAAAATTCAAGGTTTATTTTCCCAAAACGCTACACCGTTAGTTTTAATGAAAGGACGATGACTGTGAGGGAATTTGCGCTATAATTATTTTGAAATAAAAATTCCAATGATTCCAAAAATTCGCTATCCACATCAGCTCGCCCGTGTCCTACACTGTCTTTACAGTATTGAACAATAACTATACTGATGAAACCCATTACAATTAAGAAAATAGTTTATGATATTTAAAATCTGTTTTTTCTATCATGTAGAGTGACCTTAAAGTTCACTCCCCCCACTTCCCCCCCCCAAAAAAAAAATGAAGGGAGGATATGGGATGATGCAAAGAGCCTCGATCACCCCCCCCCCCCCGGCCCCACAATTCAAGTTTCGTAATCAGTACAACCGAATAAAAAAAAATGTTATAAATCTGTAAGGGATGCACAGTAATGGCAAATTTTAAATTGATAAAGAAATACAATATAATCCTTTTCGTCTATTGGATGCGGACAACTTCTAAAGGTGGCAGAATAACCTGAATTATACTCTGTAAGGATTCGAGAATAGTTTGAAAATAGGGGTAAAACAAATTTAAGTTTATTAGGTCTATATTGTTTTATTAGCTTATAAATCTATTTTTAAAGAAATGATCGAAGCCGTTGATAATTTCTATTTCTTGCAATTTATCATATAAAATCAAAGGAATCTGTTTTTTTTTTTTTTTTTTTTTTTGGGGGGGGGGGGGGGGCTTACCAATGTTTAAAACGCTACTATGGGAGTCAGGTTGTTTTATTCTAAAAGGTTTTATTGGCTAACAAATGCAGTAATACAAAAGTTTGAAAGATTCCAAACAAACACGTCAATTTGCTCTAACCAATCATGACCCTTCCCATATCTGCCTTCATTTTAGTTATAAATGAAAAGAAAGAAAATGAAAAAGCACAGAGACTGGATCACAGGAAAAATGTTTAATGAAATGAAATAAATACGTAATTAAATTATGATTTATTTCTGTTAAAACAGCAGTTGGGGAGGAGGTCTTATGTATAGGCCTCTAGAGGCCATTAGACCCACTCGGGCATAAATAAAACAAAAATGCCAAAATGTCAATTATGCTGGTTTTAACATAAAATTAGAACGATGGACAAGAAGAATGGACAAGAAGAAAGAGAGACAACCAGGCTTTGTCGCCTGTGGGCGTCAATGCAATAAAGGGGGGATGCTTTTCGGAATAGCCTACAGATTCGATGTCCAATACGAACAAATCAGACAATTTAAGTCTAGCAATCCGCCATGTTATTCACGATATAATTATCAGACCATGTCCTGTAGCCACTAGCGTACCTATGGGGGGGGGGGGAAGGGGCCGGATTGCCCCCCCCCCCCCCCCCCCCCCGACGAAAAAGAAAGAGAAAGAAAAGAAGAAAAGAGAAAAGGGAAAAGAAAGGAAGGAAAAAGAAAAAGAAAGAAAAGAAGAAAAGAGAAAAGGGAAACGAAAGGAAAGAAAAAGAAAAAGAAAGAAAAGAAGAAAAGAGAAAAGGGAAACGAAAGGAAAGAAACTGAAAGAAAAAGAAAGAAAAGAAGAAAACAGGGAAAGAAAGGAAAGAAAAGGAGAAAGAAAAAAGGAGAGAGAGAGAGAGAGAGAGAGAGAGAGAAAAATGAAAGAAGTAGGGAAGGAAAGAGGAAAAGAGTGACGCATTTGCCGACAGAAATTTTGAAGGGCTTCATAAGCCCAGTTCCTGTCACTGTTGAGGGAAAAATCAGTTCGTAATGCCTCGCGCTCGCATGATTATTTTTTATCACTGATATGTGGATTCAGATACAAAAAGGGGGCTAATTACTTTTTTGTATTTGTTTTCAGGTCGATCACGATGTAGAAACAAATTAGTTGCATGTTTCAATATTATAGGGGGTAATGATTACTTCAAAAGGTTTTTTAATTTGATAAGAGCCTAATTAAACCATGGAATAATTAACATTTAGGATAGGGAAGGAGGGTGGTAGATGCTATGCATTTGTTAATCGGCAAATTTGGATGACGTCGCACCCTTAAAAGTTGGCAGCAAATTTGGGTGTCACACCCCTAACCCTACCCCCCCCCCCCCTCCCAATAAAACAATCTTTTTCGAATTATGAAGACTTTTCAAATCAACAAAACATAAGTAAGGTACGGGTATGCATGAAATCGCGCGATCGCAAACATCAAAATACCGTGGGAGGGGGGAAAACCCTCCCCCCCCCAAAAAAAAAAACCCTCCCCCCCCCAAACCCCCCCCCCCCCCCCTGACGCGGTATGCCAGGTTCGCCACTGCCTGTAGCTATATAGGAACAAAATCCGCCAATGCACATTATCCGCCGTGTTCACTAACGGCAGATTTGGTTATAGCGGGTACGATATCCGCTGCTGATCACGATATCTGCTAGGCAGATTTTGTTCCGAGAACACGATCCGCCAAGGTAACAAGATCTGCCGTCACACCGGGGCACTGGAGTGTAGGGAGTCTGCACCGTGCTAGCTGCATGCATAACGTCATGTTCATAACTCGGGGATTACCCCAAAGATTCGGTTTGGGGATATGACGGTTAGACATCTGAAAGGTGGTGTAATGCACGAGGAAGAAAAATGAGAAAGAAGAAGAAGATGGTATTAAGATTACATGAAGAATATGAGATAACCTGACAAACCTTCTCGGTAACATAAACGATTTTTTAGATGTTGATATCAGGCAAGGGAATACTATAGAGCCCGCAATTAGAGAAACTATTTGACTATGTGAAAAATAACACACAGTCTCTGTCATTTTCGCACTCTCTCGCTCTTTTTTCTTTTTTCTCTCTCTTATTCTCTCATCTGTCTATCTATCTAACTTTTTTTCTTTCCTCATCTCTCTCTCTCTCTCTCTCTCTCTCTCTCTCTCTTTGAAATCTCTATTACACTATTCTTTCTTCCTCTTTCTTTCCATCTCATATATATCTTTTGTGGAAAAAAAGATACATATATTTATAGACACTGAAGAATCTGGAAGGTTCTATTTCGTCAACACGCTAAATCAATAACTCCTTCTCTCTCTCTCTCTCTCTCTCTCTCTCTCTCTCACACACACACACACACACACACACACTCATTCTCTAATATATTTGTGTATAATAGAGATTCACATATCTGCCTATACTTGGGTCGTATTGTTCATTGGTGTAAAAAAAAACCGTGCTTAAAGATGGACACAATCCCTATTGAAAGTTTTTGTTTAATGTTTTTAGTCATTAGAAATAAGTTGATTTGACAAAACTTTGAAAAGATATTCATACGAGTGTATATTTCTAAAGAACAGATATATAAATCTACACCCAACATAGAAGTTTAGTATATCTGACTGCAAATACAACAATGATTACCAATACCGTACATTATTTGAATGGTGGCCGCCAATTGCTTAAAAAAGAAGGGAAACAAATAAGTGAAATATGTAGTCTACAAGAAGGAAACGCATGGGCCTTACAGAGGTTCCTAGGGGCCTATTGTTGTGCTTGTTGCTACCAAAGCTCGATGATGTAATCATCATTTTTAGCCCAGTCGAGTCCGAACCGTAAAGATTGAGGGGTATGCTTTTTGTGTTTGTGCGGTGTTGTTTTTCGGTTCGTGTTTTTTTTATTTTATAAAGTTCATATCGTAAAGCTTTGATATAATTGATGCTTATATATTCGTCAAAGAGTTAAGTATCAACAGGGGTATGTCTATGTCACACCAGGAATATACATTTAAGAAGTAAATCATTCATACCCTTACCGAGTTTTGTGATTCTTTTTTTTTTTTTTGGTGAAGTATGTGAAAAATGATTGGTCCCGATTTATGTTTCTTGAGAATCTGACATACATTTAAAATTATTTAACACAGGCCCTAATTCAACCAGTCCAGCTTTCATTC